GTTGATGACAATAAGGAAAGCTTACCGAATTTGATCCTCTAGATTTGGCTTGGTCTGCAGATTCCATTTGTTCAATTCTGCCAACTTTATACCTGAAAGAAATGCTGGATTTATGAGCAATTCATTCACCAAAAGATACAGAAAAGGGAAGAGGAAAATGGATGCCACAACTCAAGAATCATATAAATTACATTCAAAAGATAAATAAGTACATTGTAAAAACTAATGGTTGAACAGGACTATTTTTTTCTGGAAATCAATGATGACAAAGTGCTAAACAATAAAGTGTTTATCTTGCAAGTACGTGCATATTATCATATCATTAGGGTGTGGTGGTAAAGTCGTGAGTGAATGACTCACCCATCAAGATTCAAATCTTGGTGTCCAATTAAATTGTTGTGTGCATCCCTAGTTGGTACAAAGGTCAATATCCCTTCCATATTAACTTCTATTATCTAAAAAAAAATTAATAGGAATGGAGATGTACATAAACTAACAAAAGACCTCCTATAACCAACATAAGGAATAATAAGCAGGAACCTGCTGAAGTTCGAGATATGATGTACCATTTTACAAAGTGACTCTTATTATTAATATGCTGAAAATGACCAAACATAAGGGGGATACGGAATTTACCCTCGAGCTAAAAGCTTTTCAACGGCAACATCTATCCCACTTTCTGAAATGCCAACCTTTACATAAGATAAGAAAAAGGTTACTATCATGTACCATAAGGTGGCACTGATGCTAGATAGTTTGTAAGTCGGGTAAAACAGATTAAAAGAACATGGAAAATGCTAAGATGACAAATGAAATATGGAAAGCACAAAGTGACCAGAATTAAATCAAAATAAATAAAGAAAAAAAATGAAGAACTGTATTGCTATAATCCTGATTTATTTAGTATTTACACAGTTGTTTTGGTCATGCCAGGAGAAAGGTTAGAGGGATGTTTTGATTAAATACTATAGAGTACTCACAAGTGAATAAGTGTGCATTACTTCACTCAACACAATAAACGAGTTGTAAATGACATCATTTAGACTTGGTGGCAACAGTATAGCAGACTTTCAGAACTAAACCATTCAATGATAAAAACAATACTCTAGACAGTACTAGCATTCATACCTGCCGGCACTTTCCCACCCCACTGATAGTCATTTTCCAGTCAAGTTCCTTTTGGCCAATCTCAGCATCCACCTCATAGAGCTCATAGAATTTTCCCTAGCAATAAGGGAACAATCATTGCCATAGGTTATACTTATACAATCCCAGGTGCTAAAAAATGTTGGTATTTGGTCGATGTATGTAACTTTGGGAAAGATTTAAGACAGTAATAGAAATTCTGACGTGTCGGCAATCTGGGAGGATGAACAAATAAAAGGCCTTAAATAAGGCAAATCATTTTGGTACTAGGACAGACAGTCTATAATTCTAGTTTCTGTTGCATATCTATCAGTATGCATCAAGTAATGAAGCTCAAATTATGGCCAGCAAACAAAAAAATAAGGGGAACTCCTATGACAAAAAAACATCTCCTATTTATGGAGTTAGGCAATAACTCAGTATGACACCAAGGCATGAGAGATGCATATTATCCACAGCAGTAATTTCTGAACTTCAGTTTTAGATCATTTGCCCAATAGGCACTGATGAGACATCAAAAATGAAACTTACAGAAACATCAGCCTTCAGTGTCAATCAAAGCAGTCAGGGTAAACATTGAAACTTACCACTTTGAAAAACAAAACAACATCCATATACTTGCACTTAATATTCCAATATTGCTTTTGAGATGTAGACATCTTTCTCAATGCATCAGGTGGAATAAAAAGAGTTGTCTTATCATAAAGTGGGTCTGCCAGCCGCCTTCTATTTGCATCTCTGATATTCGAAGGATTCAGCCACTCAAACTTGCTGCGTGCACTTTCAGCCATTTCATCATGGACCTTATTCTCAACTGGAGAACACTGAGCTGGTTTCACCTTCTTGTTTGGACCCCAGAAAGGAGAGCATGAGTCGTTGGTAGTCACACGTTGATCTTCTTGAACCCGCTTCAGACGAGGAATTACTGCTCGCATCACTGGTGTTTCTGGTTTCAGGGGACTCGGATCAAATTCCGAAAATAGTTCAGCACCTGCTCCAATGCGTTTGTCATTCTTAGGCACTGAGGATAACTTTTTCAGATGGTTCTGTGATGGTGTTCCATTTGAATCAAATTCTGTAAATAATTTTGTTGCTTTAATGTATGGAAGGTCTGAAGGCCCAGAACTAAGCTTCTCTGAGGATTCTCGTCTAGGAGTATAATTGGAATCAAGTGCAAACAGTGTAGCGCCCCGGACATATTCACCATTAGGAGATACAAATGAGAACTTTGATGGATGCTGCAAAGGAGTTTGATCTGAATCAGATTCTGTTAAAGGTGTATCAGCTCCACGAGAAGATCTCCAGAAGACTGTTTTTGAAGTATCCTGAGGAGTTTGTACGTCAAACTCTTCAAATGATGAATTAGCTCCAATGCAGTTATTATTGGAAGACTCAAAGGGTAACTTCTTTGGACAATGCGGTGGAAGATTTTGATATAAACCAAGTTCCGGGGACAGTGTGCTTGCTCTAACAAAGTCATCTTTGGAAGGCCATAAGGACTTCAGGGGCTCCTGCAAAGGAGTCATATTCGAACCTTCTTCTGCAATCAACATGGCTGCTTTGTTATCTCCAGCATTGCAAGATTCTAAGAACAATGCACTTGAGCACTCATTTGAAGTAGTTTGATTTTTCACAGGTAAGGCTCTCTGCTCCACATGTCTAGCCTGGGAAGCATCCTGGTCTCTGAAACAAGCACAAGGAAAATGTCATGATAACGCAACAAGACACGACTATTTTGAAGGCCCTAGCAAGTGCCTGGTTTTGTCCATAGCAGTTAGCAAACAAATAACTTTGGTACATGGAAAAGAACACCCTGAAATGAAATAAACCAAGAGAAACAAAGACGGCCGATTTAAGTAATCAGTACAACAATCCAAACCTGCAAGGCTGCAACTAAGATTAAGGATGGACTACTTCACTAAAATATAATTCTGAACCAGAAATCTGATATCCATTGAGGCTAATCACAATGAAGATTAATAAAGATAAAATATGTGCAAATTATCAATTTTGTAGTTGATGCCGTTTTGTGCTAGACCAATCCAAACTCGAACTTGATTTTGGTTTCAAAAAATGAAGCTCTGTGGATGGGTCCTCCTTCCTTGCCTGAAGAAGCAAATTAATCGCAAAAGTACAATCAAAACCACAGATCGCATTAACATACTATCTGAAAACCCAGACACAAACTTGAAACAAACTTAGATGAGACAGACCGATCAAACATGACTAGGACCACGCATTGCAGGCCAAAACTACCATACATCGCACACCGCAGCAATCAAAACCATTAAACCTCCCATTATGAGTCAATCCACAGATAAGCCAAGGGGACGAAAGTAGGATCCATGGCATATTCACATCAATGTCACCCTTATTGGATACAGACCTACAGTGGCAGTAAGTACTAAATACCACCAATATAAGTCGGCGCGCGATAGCAACTAGAATAATCCGAATGGCGCACATTGGAACCAACCCAATAGTACATCGATTGAATCCTTCCCGTCTAGTATTAACTAGTGATACGAACGCGCTTGAAACCCTAAACCCGACCAAAAGCTTTGCCGCAACCCGACTGGGAAGGCCCCCAAACCACCACCCCCAAAACCCTAGCCGCCTCCCGCCATTCACAGTACGACGGCTGCGTTACATAGAAGCAGCCAGCGATCGGCGCGCCGTACCTCCCCTGCTGCTGCTGCCGCGGCGGCCGCACGAGCCTCTCCATGATCCCCGCGACCGACGCGGCGGGAGGCCGCGGGGGCCTCTCGGGCGTCGCGCCCTCCTCCCCCGCCGCCGCCGCCGGCTTCTTCTGGAGGAAGGAGAGGATCGACTGCTGCTGCTGCTGCCGCCGCCGCGGCTGCATCGTCGCCGGCGAGGGTCGGGCGGGGGGAAGGCGGAGGGTGCGAGTTTGAGAATGGGAGAGAGAGGGGAATGGAGTGGAGGCGACGAGGCGGGGGGAGGAAATGGGATTTTTCGGGGGGGAATTTGCGAGCGGGAAATGCTTGCGGAGCAACGAAGGCGCGCGATGACGCGGGCGGTAAGATTGTTTCCCGCTTCCGCTTTTGGGACACGGGTTTCGATAGAGGAAGAAGAAGAAGAGGCGGATGCCTGGACAAACATACAAGGGATCAACCATACCGAATTTTGACTTATTTTGGTACTGTTGGTTTTACCAAATTTTGGTAGAGTTTTAAGGAAGGAAGTTTTTTAGAAATGCTAAAATTTAGTAAGTAGTACTCCATCCGTTTCACAATGTAAGACTTTCTAGTATTTTCCATATACATACAGATGTTAATGAATCTAAACACATATCATTAACATACATACATACATACATACATATATATATAGGCAATGCTAGAAAGTCTTACATTGTGAAACGGAGGAAGTAGTAATAGTTGAAGTGTGTGTTGTTTGTTGCGTAAGGTTGTAAGCAGCAACAAACTGAGAAGATCCTTAAACTTAACTTTTAATGCAAAATTTGATCATATATATACTCCTTTAGAATTATGAAACTTTAACTTTTAATGCAAAATTTGATCATATATATACTCCTGTAGAATTGTGAAACTGAGGATTAAGGGTTTGACTAGCAAACCATATAAAAAATTAACGATGCAAAAAAATAATTTAGGGTATAACTTCTGCTACTATTTTGATGATTTTAAGGTCAATGTTAAAAAAATGAAACGAAAAACACCTAGAATAATTTTAAATTAAGTTTCAAAACTTAAATTTTGGTAGCCGCTGTACTTAGCGTGATCTTGTTGACCCCAATTTCTGTGTGACCCAAATGTCGGTGACACAAGATGAATAATTCCTCTCAATGTTTACCTGAAGTAGTACTAGTAATATGATCAAATCCCAGCTGATCCACTTCTGACACCATCAAAAACAGCAGAAATTCAACTCCCTCCAACGCCCAAAGTACAGGCACAAAATATTTCACAGCAAGCAGCGACATCGTGATAAACAGAAGTTCTCATAAACTAGACCTAAGTGGTGACGCGCGCAGTTGACGCATATGTACAATCACCACAGCAACTGGGTGGTAAGTAGTGGCTGGTGCTGCCTGCTTTCCCCTACCTGATACAATTGGAAGCTGGTGAGAGGACTGAACTACTGAATTCACAAGCTTCCAACAAACAAAATGCAAAAGGGGGCATAAGTTTATCTAAGGTGAGCCGGACTCCTCCTCAGAGTCTGCAACTATCATTTCACGATCATCTTCCGAGCCTGATAGAGAAAACTGCTTTGAGATAGATGTTGGCCTCTGCCTCATTGTTTTCTTTGTCATGGATCGAGGAGTAAGCTGTCCTGGGCGCATGACGTCTTCGTCGTTTTTCATATTTCTCCGACTCCGGCGGAGCCCTTGCGGAGGCTTGTCAAACCGACGGGAGGCAAGACGAGTCCTCTTACGTGGGACAAATACTTCCTCCTCTTCAGTATCACCCTTGTTGGGATCATAAGCATCATTTTCTCCATCACTGCCAACATCATTTTCTCCATCGCTGCCTGACGAGTCATCATCCTTACCATTGTAGTCTCTGTCTTCATCCTCATCAGAACTCAGGTCATCAAGGGACTCGACATCCTCCTGTCCGCCATCTTTGTCCTGCTCCGGATTGACGTCAGACCCTCCAGCATCCTCCTGTCCATCTTCCTTCTGCTCTGGACCAATGTCAGACCCTCCATTGGCTCCTTTATTGCCCTGATGTGAGGCACGCTTCTCTTTTTTGCCTGCCTCCTGTGGATCAGATTCTTTTGATTTCCTGCATTCAAGCACGTGAATTCTTTTCAAGAAGAATGATTTTGCATTTGGATTACTTGAGCAACAATTCCTAAAAGCTCAGTGCTAAATAAGCATGGAGAATGTGATCCATACTTCAAGTTTGCTGTTTCTAAATTCTAGTAAATCTGACATGTCAATTCCTGGAACCAACAAGTCTCAAACCTGTTACCAGTTATCCCCCCCCCCCCCTCTCCTTCTAATTTGCTTATACTATCAGATGCTGCTAATGTTAGTAATGAGGGACTATGCTGTACCACAAGAAATCGAAGGTATTTAATTGCTTATATTGTTGCAGTGTTCCAAATGTTAACTGCCAACGAACTAGGGGGAAAACAGGAAGGGAAAGAATGGTTTTAACTTACGCTGCAGCTTTTATTGCCTCCTTTATAGAACGATCGTAATCAGCTGCACACAAAGCAAATCAAGGGTATCAATGCCAAGACATAGCAATTGGTCACAAAACATAAATACTTTGATCAGTTTTACTGAGTATTTAAAAATAGAATTAGAATATGAGCCTGTTGAATGCTGAAAACATCTGTATTAACCTATAGCATTTGCTGCAATTCTTAGAGCTTGTGTTATTAGTGAGAGCTGTCAACAATCATCATTTTCCACTAGGCTTACAGTTATATGGATTGGAAACGGTAAATGGGTAAAGTATCTACACTTCTACTAAATGAGGGACTGGCAGAAGAAATGAGAGATGCAACATGAAATTCAATGTACCCAGCAAGCTGTTGGTTATGCATCCAGACTACTATTCGTAAAATATGATGAACAGTCTCAAGTTGTCATGCACCTTGTGTACTCAAGGATGCTAAACAGAAAGCCCCTTACAGTAATTGTAGCTGACAGGCCTACGTTCACGCAATGAACGGGTTTGGAAACTTGTAGCATAAGCTAAAAGTTCATCCTTCTTCTGCTGACGTTTTAAATCCCGCTCCTTCTTCTGCAAATTAAACAGACAAAAATGTGGTCATAAATCATAAAAGTAGAGTATGAGCTTCATATCTTGCTGCCAAGCATAAATCCTGATTCCAAAGTAGAATATAAATGCATTCATGTATTGGACACCCCTGGGGAAATATAGACGCAACAGAGTAGAAAGCACGTGAGCTGAAAGCTACCTTTTGAAGCTTCTCCACATCTGGAATAATTTCTGTCTTAAGATGCTCGCCGATGGCAGATTCCGGTCGACCTTTACTGCATAGTTTCTCCTGTTGATACCATATGTCAAATATGGGAACAAAACACAAGCTGCACAAGAAAATGAACAGCCAATACACTTACCGATATCTCAACGAACTCATCAAGGTTAGTCGCAACTGTTTCCCACTGAATATTGATAACTGGCTTTGTCAAACGACCATTCTTTCCCTTCAAGTTGCGCTTGAAATCAAGTGTTACATACTCACTATACAATCTATGGCCAATAGTTGAGTCACCATCATACCTAACAAGCAGAAATATTTCAATGGACAGTGTCAGCAGGAAAAAAAGAGGACGCAAAGGCATGCTAACAGTGACTCATTGATTGCAAATGATAACATGAAAGTGAACAGAAACTCTCTTACCAGTATATAGTTCCGTTACTACTACTTCCTAACTTTTCTTTTCGGAAATTGGAAATATCAACTCCTCTTTTCATCTCGTCATTAACATACCATACCGCGTCATTTTGCTGCAGGATAGATAATGTCTATCAGAATAATGTGCATTTAAAAGCTGAAGGACTTGGGGGTATTTGACTAATTAGATTATTAAACCTGAAAGGAAACTGCAATTACAACAAGGTGAACTCATAGAATCGTTACCTCTGAACGAACTTCACAGAGTGCTTTAAGTATCAACAAGCGTTTAATCGGATCTTGCTGTTTATACGTGTCAATTTCCTTCCTGGGTAAACAAATAAGTCGCGATATGAAGTTACCTAAGAGTCATAGTCAAAAAGCTTATTTACAATGCATTATCCTGCATACCCTGGATTAATTTTGAACGGGTTTGCACCTTCAGCAACCTGAAACCAAAATGATGTTAATGTCTGGGACTGCTCTAGTTATATTTACACTAGTAAAAATTTTATGCAAACTAAAACATACCCATGTCCACCAATCTGATAATTTCTTGGCAGTTGCCGTTATCCATCCATCATCGACCTTCAGATTTTTGATAGTTGGTGGTATTCCCTGATACACGTGACTATTACAACTTAGCAAACATCATTTCAGACAAACATGGCAAAACAGTAACATAAACAGGCTTATTCGTCATTACATCAACAACAAAAAAAAATGAAACTTAGAGAAAAGAAAAGGTATCATAATATTTGGTCTCCCTAATACAGGGTAGTAATGCAGTATAAGAATAACTGATGCAAACATCTTGTTACTAGTACACAATAGCTCAATAAGGAAAGATGCCTCCCACAGCAACGCAGATGATGCAAGCTTGTTTTATTTGTATGTCACGTGATTTAGAAATCTCAAACAGGCATGTCCATAACAGTTAATGAAGTTAATCAGTCACTATGTCACTGTTTTTTAACAAGATTAAAAAATGATTGATTGAACTTATTCAGTACTTTCAAAAGAAAAAAAAAGAGAATTACATATAGATAAAGTTTTTTAAAAGATAACTATGGAGAAACAGGTTATGGTTTTTGACAAGCCTAGCTGATTACATAACCTGCAACTTACTCGGTGATTGCAAACAAAAAGGACAAGGACAAAGAAATGAAGTTTTTTCCCTTTTTGCAGAAAACCTGTCATGGTTTGTGACAAGGTTAAAGATTACATAGACCAACGCAAGTGTGTATTCAGTTCAAACCCTCCCTGCAGATACACAATGCCTCTAGTGCAAAGCAAGCACGAACAAACCTACAGGCAGAGTATCTGCTGCCTTAAACAAATCAGATCACCAAACTGTCTACAATGCAGGCATTCTGCAATCCAAAGCCTACACGATCCAACCATAACTACAGAAGTCAGGAGTGCATAGGTGCAGCCTGAAAAAACAAACTACACCTTTATAAGCGCAATATGGATGCGGGCAAGGTCGTGGTTATTGGCGATGAGCGCGGTCTCGATCTCCTCCGCTGATAGCCCCAGGTTCCCCTCGATCACCGGCTCAAACACCTGAAAACCAAAAAAAATCCCCAAACCGAAACCCCGTAAGCCCAACACGCCAATACCAATCCAACCCAACCCTTGAAGCAGGAGAGGGACAAAAAAAAAAGAAAAAGAAAAAAAAAGGAAGCCCTAGCCGAAACGGCTCACCCGGAGAAAGTGGAGCACCGACGCGAGCTCCCAGCTGCGGCGGAGGAGGACGCAGGGGTCCTCCGGCGCCGGCGGCGACGCGGGGGGGTCCACCGGGGACGAGGCCGGGGGCCTCGCGCGCTTCGCCGGCGAGGCCATCGTGCGGGGACTGGAGGAGACAGGCGGGAAAGTGGGGGAAATTTTGGTGGTGGGAGGCGGGAGGGAGGGGAGGAAAGTGGAGAGGCGGGGGAGGAGGAGGAGACGGCGCTGCGGCTCGTGGGGCGGTGGCGGTTTATGGATGGTGCGGGACTGGGAGAGTGTGGGTGTGGGCCTGTGGGGTGGTCGAGTGGGCTTGGCTACCATTTGGGCTTTCTGTGATGGGCCAAAATCTGAAATGCTGTATTCGCATGTGTCCGGCCCAAATCTGATGTTAGGTAAGGGTTATACATTCATCCAAAATAAATTAATCTAGAACTGAATGTGGTATATTTATTACGAATCTGAAAATATGCATGTCTAGATAATCTATCATATGCCACCGAGTTTACCTTATTTCAACTGTTTGCTATCGACTTTATCTCCTTTTGTAAATATATACCACTGACCTTGTTGTTTTCTACAATAATTTTCAAGAATTGCCTAAAATGCTCTTTGAGACATACTACAGGTGTTGACAATTGTTCGATCCACTATAATTTAAAACAAATATAAAAAATTGTATTTAGCCTTAGAAGCTTGTGTGTGAGATTTTCTTTCATGCTTTTTGAAAAAAAATGTGTAGCATATGAAAGAGAAATCACATACATAGAATATAGCCGCATTAGAAAAAAAATTATAGCATGTCAATGATGATGTACAGCAGTACAGAAAAGAACATTAACACGAGAGTACTATATTAACAAACATAAATTACATTTTGTTTAAGTTCATACATGTAAAATGAAAATCTTGAAATATACACACACTTCTATATTATGTAGAAGGCTACATAAAAAAATTCATATTTTATTGAAACTTCTAGTAAATCAATTAATTGTAACATATATTTTCTTGAAACTTCTAGTAGATCAATTAATTGTAACCTCTTATAAGCCTTGAAGGTATTATTTTGAAAAGTATTCACCCCAATAACATATTATAGAAAAAATGACAAAGCCAGTGCCATTTATAAAGAGAGACAAAGTCGATGGCAAATTGTTAAAACGGAGTAAACTCGGTGTCATATAGTGGATTCTCTCAAAATGTTAACTATCGCTCCCTGTACCAATAAAACTTACAAAAACTTAGCCAACAGTATCGCTGTAAAACAATCACAGGACAACGTTGTGGAGAAATTAGATTGTATGAAGATTATAATCATACCAAGTAAAATCTCTGATCAAAGAGCAGGTAGTACTTAGTAAGCCATGTCTTGATATATATATATTTAAGTGTAACTACACATCCACTCAAACAATGTGTATGAAGCGAGATAGGTACACGAGGAAGGACCGCCAGGGTGAGGTGTGGCATGGTGCTCCGGGCACAGCCAACACCGGGCTAAGCCAACACGAGGCTTCGCGACTCCCGAGCCGAAGAACGGAGAGAAATAATTTCCTCTACAAGCATCGTCCGACCTTGTGGTACCACGCGCTTGATTGCCAACTCAGTTCGGCTCCGATGTGGAGGCTTTAGACCACTGGATAGAGTGGAACATTAGGCTTGGCCTTATTGATGTTACTACTTATCCATCAAGAGGATGTACGGTTTGGAACCTTATAGCTTGTTGGTCTATAATGTTGTTATTGGATTTAACTTTTTTTAATGGGATAGGACATAAACAGGAATGGCGAAAAGCTGATAGCCATATATGAATGGGTTACAGATGGGATAGTAGAGGGATGAGTACCATGAGGAAAGTGAAAGACATGTTAAGTGTTAACGATAGATTTGCACAGAAGAAAGATAGCTTATGTCACGTCTCAAATCTAACTTTCCAGTTGCATTTTATTTTCTTTTCTGCCACTTCATGTTATATGATGCTATGACCAGGACCCATGGTTTCTGTCGATTATAATTAAAAAATGCTATTGTTTAACTAAGGAGGTGTTTGACGGTGCTATATTATCCGTAGCAGCTGCAGTTGCCACCGGAAAATCCTCTTTTGCTTTTTAGCGTATAAAATTTTGATTTATACGTATTACTCCCTCCATTTCAGGATATAAGATGTTTTGATAAAGTCAAACTACTACAAGTTTGACTAAGTTTATAGAGAAAATAGTACTTCCTCCATCTACATTTGATAGTCGTATTTCATCTTAGCACACAGACCAAGGATAAGTAATTTTACTTATCATCCATTTAAACATGCTACTAGTCATTCCTCGTAAACAAGCGATTCATTAATATTTACATTTCTCAATGCCCATGTAGCCAATCATGTGTGAAAGAATGGAGAGTCATGCGAGAAAGTCATTAAGATGATAGTTTGTTGAATTGAAATATGACTATCAAAAATAAATTTTTCAGATTTAGAAATATAACTATCAAAAGTAGATGGAGGGAGTAATATTTTCGACCCGAGATAAATTTATAAATATTATTTTTTTTATAAACTTGGTTAAACTTGAAGCAGCTTAACTTTGACCAAAATCAAAACAACTTATAACCTAAAACGAAGGTAGTATATACTTATATTTATATGTATAAACTTTGTAACTAAATATATACACATATGCTTATATACACATCTATACAAAATTATACATTATACATATAAACTTTGTATTCGTACATATAAAATTACACATTCTTTAGACATATAAAAAGTTTATACATATACGCACAAACTTTATGCATATACAATTTGTACGTATACGTATGGAACGCGATGCGCTGATCGTGGATTAGCATTTTCGACTAGGTAGCTACATATAGCATTATCAAATACCCTCACAATAATAAATATCTAATTGTCCTTCTAAAGCAAGTATTTCCTACGTATGTTGAAAAAAAAACTTATCTTTATATCTTGGGCTACTATGAAAACCGAACTATCTTTCATTAGATACGCAAATATATATTCATTTGATTATATGCATTATTATGAATAAGTGCGCGTAGCGTATAAGCACATGCAGTTATACTGTGTTTTAAAAATACACAATCATATTTATAGTCAGGTAAACGTAAACGTACCATGTATTCATTTATGTACCGGGCCTGTTCATCTGCACTATAGCAGGCTACGACGCAGTCACCTCACACGGTATTTTGTGTAGCATAATTATGTGTTGGATTGGGATCAGGTGCAGTCCCAACTACAACTGCACACGTTAGGGACTACACAGGATCATGTCCATTTAAATTTTCAATGGAAGGTTCAGATTAAATGCTACAGTAGCATTGGTATAATAATTTTTGTTGGATTATCTAAATGAACAGCGCTCTATTAAATTTGGGCCTTTGAATTTGCATCCTGCGGCCATAGTATAACTGTCTAAGTTGCAGTCATAGTAATAACTGCATAAGAATTAAGGGTCTGTTCACTTTGATGCCAAAATTTTGACAGGATTTCTTATATAGTTACCAAAATTTGACAGCAAACTAAATGTAGCCACTTTTTTTTGTAACTTTACCAAAATTTGGTAAGGTTGTAAATGATATCAAAGTGAACCGGCTCCAAATCCGTATGTGTTGTAGCCGCTTTAACATGTTGCCGAACACGGCTGCTGCAACTTTATAGAGATATTATCCTTACTAAATAAAATACACCATCGATGTCCGAAGAAGAAAGGAAAAATCATATTGAACGATCAAACCATTGTCGCCGTATGTTGGTACACGGTATTAAACGTGCCAAAACCATCTTCCCCCTCCCCACAGACGTCAAACGTGGCGAACCACTTGACACCAACGTGTGCACGTCTGACTTCTTGCACTCCCTATACGTCTTGACCCCCCCACCCCCCAAACGCCCAACGGATCCTTCTGGAACCCACTCGCGCCGTCAAACCACCACCGCCTCCGTCTCCTTCTCCGTTCCCGTCTCCGTCTCCCCCAGAGAGCTCTCGTCGCGCGCGCGCACTTTTCTCCTCTCCGACTGCGGGGCCCACCAGTCAGAAGAGAACTCTCCTGGCGCCTCTCTCTCCCCCAACCCCACCGGATACCTGATCCGGGCCGTCCGTTCGATCGATCCGACGGCGGAGACGTTGTCCTGGGCTCCCACGGCAGGAATTGGATGGTTCTAGAACTCACCCGAGTCCCGACCACCCCACCCCCACCACCACAGCCGCCTCTCATATATCAAGCGGCCGCCCACGCGCCCCTCGCATCTTTCGCGAAGGCGATTCAGGCGAGAAGAGAGAGAGAGAGCGCGAGGCCGGCGGTTCTAGAAGCTTCCAGACCCTTCGGCGCGAGCGAGCTCACCTCCCCCGTAGGTACGGCCCACCCTTCTCTTCCCAGGTCGCGCCGCGAGTTGGATCCGCGCCACCGCCCGCCCGTGGATCTGATCGTGTTTCGGCGATTTGTTCGTTGCGTTTTTGATTTTATTTTATTTTTTTCTGGGGTCTCAGCCTGGGGGGATGGTTTGCGCTGCTCGGGTTTCAGCCGCGGAGGGATGATGTTTTTCGTTGTTATTTTTTTTTTCGCGGTAGCTGCGCGGGATTTTGACTCGCTAGGGTTTTAGATCGGTCGTGGTGCTTAGAGTAATCTCAAATCCTTGAATTGTTACAAATTTTTATTTTTGCAGCTCTGCAGATCGAGATTTATGTGATTTTAGTGTTGATGTTTAGGTGGTTATAGGTTTGGATCCTGCTGTGAGTAACTCGTAGATCCTGATCCTGATTGATTGTATTTATGTGCGCAGGAGCTGTTCATTAGATCTGAATAAGGGGGATTGAAGCAGTGAGGAGAAGATGAGCGTGGTGGGCTTTGATCTAGGGAATGAGAGCTGCATTGTGGCCGTCGCGCGGCAGCGCGGCATTGATGTGGTCCTCAACGAGGAGTCGAAGCGGGAGACTCCGGCTATTGTCTGCTTCGGCGACAAGCAGCGGTTCATCGGGACAGCGGGCGCTGCTTCCTCCACGATGAACCCGAAGAATTCTGTTTCTCAGATCAAGCGGCTCCTCGGGCGCAAGTACTCTGATCCTGAGCTCCAGCGTGATATTGCGGCCTTCCCCTTCCGTGTCTCGGAAGGGCCTGATGGATTTCCTCTTGTTCATGCCCGTTACCTTGGTGAAGAGCGGGTTTTCACTCCGACGCAGCTCATGGCTATGGTGCTTTCTAATCTGAAGGGTATTGCAGAGAGCAACCTGAATACTGCTGTTGTTGACTGCTGCATAGGCATTCCGGTGTACTTCACAGACCTTCAGCGCAGAGCTGTGCTTGATGCTGCCACCATTGCCGGCCTCTGCCCATTGCGGTTGTTTCATGAGACCACCGCAACAGCATTGGCATATGGTATTTACAAGACTGATCTTCCAGAGAATGATCAATTAAATGTTGCCTTTGTGGATGTTGGACATGCCAGCATGCAAGTCTGCATTGCTGGTTACAAGAAGGGACAACTCAAGATCTTGTCGCATGCATATGACCGGTCCCTTGGTGGGAGGGACTTCGATGAAGTCCTGTTTAAGCACTTTGCAGCGAAATTCAAGGATGAGTACAAGATAGATGTTTACCAGAATGCTCGTGCCTGCATTAGGCTCCGTGTGGCTTGTGAGAAGCTCAAGAAGGTGCTGAGTGCTAACCCTGAGTCACCAATGCACATTGAATGCTTGATGGATGAGAAGGATGTGAGAGGTTTTATCAAGAGGGAAGAGTTTGAGAAGATTAGTGCATCAATACTGGAACGTGTTAAGGGGCCACTGGAGAAGGCTTTAGCAGAAGCTGGTTTAACGACAGAGAATGTCCATTTTGTTGAAGTTGTTGGTTCAGGTTCTCGTGTCCCGGCAATAATTAAGATACTCACAGATTTCTTTGGGAAAGAACCAAGGAGGACAATGAATGCGAGTGAATGTGTTGCCAGGGGATGTGCGCTGGAGTGTGCTATCCTTAGTCCCACTTTTAAAGTGCGAGAGTTTCAGGTATGTGCCCGCTTTCACCCTGCTGCCTTCTCTGCTTTGGCTATCTGCACAATACATTAATAGAAATCTTGCTGCTTCATGCCTTAAAATCTCTAATTAAGGATTGTTTAAGACGCTCATCCTCATGTGCACCGTCATTAAAGTTTAATTGGATAGTCCAATAAGATTTGTCTCCTTACATGACTCCATTAAGATCATGCAACCATCACCAATAGTTATTCATAGTGTCGTAATTTTCATGACAATTTTATCCGGTACTCCAATGAAACTGTTTCCTTAATATCATGCAACCTCTAGTTATAACCAATAGGTTTATGCAGAATGTTCGTCATAATTTTCATAACAACTTAGCGTGATACTTAACATGACTCAAATATCATGCAACCTCTATTCATGAGTTTTGTGACCAATATGGCTTATTATGCAGAATGTTGGTCATAATTTTCGTTGTAATTTAATCTCATACTCCAATAAGATTGTTTCTAACATGACTTCATTAAGATCGTGCGAACTCGCTTATGCAGAGTTTGTCTTGTTGGCTCCTTGAATCTGGGTTTACCCACCAATTTAATTCTTGCCTAATAACATTGCTGGAATCTATAAAGCTTTCAGCATATTCTTACTGTTTAAGGATAACATATGCACTGAAGGCCTGATTTGAATGAGTAGTATTTGGTTCAAAAATCTATTTCACTCCCTTGAAGTCTTAAAATTAAAACAAATCTTAGTATACTACTACTCAAAATCATTTTAGGATAACACTAACACTAGGATTTTTTTCTTTCGTGAGTTTACAATAAATCATCCTAGTTCTTGCTTGTACAACACTAAAGTATGTTTTTTCCCCAGCTATAACGCTAAACCCTGTGCAGGTTAATGATGGTTTCCCTTTCTCAATTGCAATGTCATGGAAACCAGACTCTCAGAATGGTGATAACCAACAGACTGTTGTATTCCCCAAGGGTAACCCATTGCCCAGCGTTAAAGCATTGACCTTCTATAGGTCCAATACATTTCAAGTAGATGTCACGTATGTTGATACTGGTGATTTGCAAATATCACCAAAGATCAGCACTTACACGGTAACTGACTTAATATTTCCTTTTTTATGTTCTCGAATGTGCTTCGAGTCCAACTATCGTGTATTGATCATGTTCTTTTGTTGTGTGTGTTTATGTTAATGTATAGGTTGGTCCTTTCAATCCCGGCAAAGGTGACAAAGCGAAACTGAAAGTGAAAGTCCGCCTTAACATCCATGGGGTGGTCACAGTTGAATCAGCAACAGTGAGTGATAATGCAGGCTGTTTTTTTTTTGTAGTTCTTTTCCTAAATGATTTTCGTTGAAATAAATCTGAGAGTATTTCTATTGGTCTGGTGCAGATGTTGGAGGAGGAGGAAGTGGAAGTTCCAGTAGCAGCTACAACTGAGCCTCCGAAAGATTCTGCCAAGATGGAGACAGATGATGCACCTAATGAAGCTGCTTCTGGAACTGATGTAAACATGCAGGAAGCCAAAGCCCCTGCAGATGCTGCTGCCGATGGTGCTGAAAATGGCGCACCAAATTCTGAGGAAAAATCAGTCCCTATGGAAACTGATGCCAAGGTAAATTTTCATTACTGACAAAATCTTGAATTATCATGCTAGCAGGTGCCTGAAGCCTTTTAATTTGAAACCTTTTGCTTTTTGAAGTATCATCAGTACAAGGTGGAAGTTGAGGAAACAGTATTCTGGACATGTTTTTTATTCAGAGCTAACATATCTTGCCTTTGTAGTTTATATTTATAGATAACCTTTTGAAGCTTACATGCGCAAGCTGATCTGATTAGTCCACTGCACTGTTATGCCTTCGATTTGACACTTTCCTTGCATTGATTTTATCACGACTTTTTCCATGCCAACCACAATGTGCCAGTGTGCAACAAATTCGTTGCAATTGCTGTTTTTGTGGTAGTTATCTATCATTCTATTGCTGAAACTATACTTGATACAAATATGATCATTCTTTACTGGATCCTTCCTACTGTGGTTCAAAATTTGGTTTTATCTTTTCCTCAATTCCTCAGTCTGTTTCAGTTTGCCCTAAAGGGACAAGTGAATTGATGAAATGCGATGAAGGAAAAAGTAAACTGTATCAGATGAACTAACAGTTGGCACATTTTGATGAAAAAACTGCAGGTTGAGCCATCAAAGAAGAAAGTAAAGAAAACTAATGTTCCAGTTGCTGAGTTGGTTTATGGTGCCTTGGGGACTACAGAGTTGCAGAAGGCTGTGGAAAAAGAGTATGAAATGGCTCTTCAGGACAGGGTGATGGAAGAGACAAAAGATAAGAAGAATGCCGTGGAGTCTTATGTTTATGACATGCGAAACAAGGTTTGATCGATTCCACTCTTTCCTGACTTCATCTTTAGTTAGAGGCAGAAACTGATAATATGTTATTTTTCAGCTGTATGACAAGTACAATGATTTTGTGACTGCTGAAGACAAGGAAGCATTCATTGCTAAGCTTCAAGAGGTTGAGGATTGGTTGTACGAAGATGGTGAGGATGAGACCAAAGGAGTGTATGTTGCTAAGCTTGAAGAACTTAAAAAGGTTTGTCTCTTTCATTTATTTTGCTCCTTACATCTTGTTAGTTTGTATATTAAAAAAAAGCTATGATTTTTGGTCACAGGTGGGGGGTCCCATTGAGGCAAGGTACAAGGAATGGATGGACAGAGGCCCTTCCATCGACCAACTTGCTTACTGTATCAACAGTTTCAGAGATGCTGCCTTGTCCAAAGATCCGAAGTTTGATCACATTGAGATGGAGGAGAAACAGAAGGTATTCAATGCATCAACTACAAAATTAGCACAATATCTTTTCTCTATACACTGATTGCAATGCTAGTTCACGAACTACGTTCTGCTAGTGAATGGTAACAGAAATAAAATCCTTTTATTAGGGTTACAAAGTAATTGACATACGCCCTGCTTGGCCCTACATTGGATTATAGCAATTTTGAATGAATTGTAAAGCTTGATTTTTCAGAATAATTTTAGATAGACTTTTCACTCGTCTTAGTTGATCCCACCGATAGACGGTATTAAATTCATTTGCTTGTCACATGCAGGTGATTAACCAGTGTTCCGAAGCAGAAGTCTGGCTGAGAGAGAAAATACAGCAGCAAGATGCTCTGCCGAAGCATGCTAACCCTGTCCTACTCTCTTCTGATTTAAAGAAAAAGGCCGAAACGGTTGACAGGTCCGTAGATAAATCTCTCTTGACGCCACTTGCTGTTCCTGTATCCTATGTTTAAGCATACTTCTAACGCCCATTCTTTTTACAGGTTCTGCAAACCGATAATGATGAAGCCGAAACCAGCTCCTAAGCCACAGACGCCCCCACAAACGCCACCGACCGAGACCCCGGCTGGCGGAGCCCAAACACCAGAGCAGCAACCTCAGGGAGCTGAAGCGGCTGGCGAGGCCAGCGAGGGCGGCGCCAGCGAATCTACCGGCGAGCAAATGGAGACGGACAAACCGGAGGGAACTGAAGCTGCCTAGGCTGCAGCTGCGGAAACGTTTTTCAGTTTCCTGCAAGTTGCTGCTGCTCGGTCTGCATTCGTTATCAGATTCCGACACCGAAGTTCAGTAGAGGTTCGCTAGGGATGGATTTGTGATTCACCATACTTCGTGAGGATCATCTGCGTGAACGTACGTTTAGGTTTATATCCTACTGTACCAATGTGTTGTTAAAATCGGCTTTCCCTTTTTAATTTTTCTGCCAAGGGGTTTTCTTTCAATTCGAGATATAAGGGCACGTTTCAGATTTGGTGTCCTACGGGGTGGGTGTTATAGCGGGACTTACAATGGAACTCAAATTTTTAAGTCCGATGTATCAACTGATTCTTGTTCCATGGGATTTGCACGCTCTTCTGGACTTACTTTTGCATGTGTTAATGTGCTGGCCTGGGTTTAATGGCCTGCTAGTGTGCATTCTTTTGCTGCTGGCCTTGGTCTTGGGTGTTTTAAGTTTTAACCGGTGGCTCGTTGCTTCTGCTTGCGCTCATCTGGACGACATTTTCTCCATTAGGACAGGGTAGACCGTAGACCTAGAGAAATCAAGAGGCTGGAAGGGCACTAAACATCATCAGTTACTGATCAAGGTCAAGTTGCAACTGTGATACAAGGGCCCATTGGTGCAAAGGGAGCCTTGTGTGCTGTGGCTGCTCGCATTTGTTGTACGAGGCTCCAGCCGGCCCACTAGTCCTGTCGTGCAAAGCAAGTATGGATGAAAACGGAAAGGATAGTTTTCGTTCGTTCCGAAGAAAACGAATACAAATACGGGTATGATACTGGGGTTTCCGACAATATAGATTTGGAATCCTGTGAACAATACTATTCGGGTATCCGTTCAAGCAATGAGATATACTCAATTTCTTAATAACCCTACGACCTTCGATCTACATCTTTTTATATTTAATAGTAGTCTATCTTTCAACACTAGTCCACACTATTAATATTATTTAAAATTTTATTATTTTATAAATTATATTATATTTTATATAAAACAAGCTAATTATATATGATGATATTTATTTCTATTATAAATTGAGGTGATTTTCGTGTTTTCAGAAAAAAATGTTTCCATATTCGTGTTTGATTATATTCGATCTTTATTTGTATTCGAGATAATTCATATTTGTTTCCGTATATTACAAAATAATATGAAAACAGTATTGCATGATTATCCGTTAGTTTTCATTCCTAGTTGCACGGAAGTATTCGCCAAATACTTCAGTGTTAAATTGTAACGAATGCTAGACAACCTCATGGCGAATTACAGCGGGGCTAAAAATTAATAGACGCTTTAAATAGTTAGAGAGTGTAGCTTAATTAACCGATATGTAGATAGAACCCTATCGAGGATGTATATGTGCATATTTTCTTGGAATAATTAACTATTTTTTCTTAGGCATGTTTTGTATGTGTTGGGCGCCGCGTGGGTGTAAATGTTATTGAGAGAGTGTGCGTTGCACGAGTCACATATCATATGAGATACGTTGAATATATATAGAGTAAAGTTCTGTACATGTGTTAAGAAAAACTGTACAAGGTCTAATCGATATGGCTGTTTTCTTCCCCCTATTTTACTAACCCACATATCTCGTTTTTCGCGTGCACGTTTTTCAAACTGAAACGGTGTAATTTATTAAAAAACTTTCTATATGAAAACTGTTTTTTTAAAAGAATCATATTAATCTATTTTTTTAAAAAATAATTAATACTTAATTAATTATATAACAATACGAGCAGTTTTACGTGCCGGGAGGAGGGTTCCCACCCCCTCCTCCAGAACACAGCATATAGGCGCTTGGCTCATGCGAGCACCCACGTTTTAGCTCCTCATTTTTTCGCCCCAAAGCTATAGATAAAATTCCTTGTGATAGAAAATTTTCTCATTCTTTTCCTTTCATATCTCCTAGGAAACGAGGGGGATGAACGAGTGAAGACTATGTTTTGGCACATCGTATGTGTTTGCCATCGTTTCCAACCGTTCGTGCACTGAAGTGGTGTGCCGCCAGCCCGCCACTCTGTTGGGTCTGAATTTTTGCACATCCATGTAGTAGTGAGCATCCTCTAAACTCTCCTTGTGTATCGACATTAATTGCACTGTAAAGTGGAAGACTATATATCTCCTACACTTGTCAACAACTCGACATAGGGGGTATATGGAGTTGTTGGATTATCCTCGAACCGGTAGTCTATCTGGGGCCCATACTTTGGTTTGGATTACTAGCCAAGCAAAGCATTTGTATTTTCTTGGTGCCCACAGCTTCCAGATAAGCATGCCAAAGTTGGTTCGGACCAACCCAAAAAACTATGCATTGTATGCCGAGGCAATTTGTGTGTACGGGGCATGGTAGTTGTGTATGGGGCATGGTCCGTGAGTTTCCACGAGGTCTGGTCTTCCTCCCCCTACTCAGATGTTTTTATCAATGCAACTATATTAGAGCAGGTACAATAGCAGACTATAAGCCAGCTGCAAACATATTTTAAGGAGATAAATGAGGAGAGAGAAGGGCAGCGGGCTACAGATTTGTAGCCAGCTGTAGCACGGACTCCAAGACACAGTGTGTGTATGACAGGTGGGACCAGGTACTAATAGTGTAGTATATAACTATTGTATGAATGAGCTATTAGATTGGCTATAGATGAATTGGAGCTAGTAGTTGGCTATACTATTGAACTTGCTCTTAGTACTAGTACTCATCACAAGAAATTTAAATGCTTGCTTTGGAAAAGATGACTAGGAGGTAATCAATGAGGGCAGCAATGTAATTTGCCATGTCTTTTACTATCTCCGTCCTTAAATAAATAAAATTAGTTCAATTTAGCCCAAAAATGTGTCCCTAAAAGAATGTGCAGTGGTCCACAGTCCACTAGACTTTTTTTTAATACTATGTTTTCTTCTCATTTTTAGTCGTTGAACTAATAATACTCCTCTTTCTTCTCATAATCTCATTTTCTTTCTATATCTTTTAACCCCTTACTTAATAATCCATTCGTTAAAAAAATATAAGGGATTTTGACCGGATGTGTTACACATCCTAGTAATACGAATCTAGACAGAACATATGTCACATCAGATTAAAATCCCTTATTTTTGAGACGAAGTGAGTATGTCTTTGCTAGCTAAAAGCCTAAAACTACACTTAAATGAAATGAAGGGAGTAATACAGTGTGAGATTTGTTAGAACGACATATGTAAATTGTAATAGAGGGAATAATATAAATGCATTGCTTATGGTTAGAAATGAAAATAGCAGTTACGTTTCATAAATTATTTTGAAGCAAGGCCATGGCACCTTGGCACGATCGATCTGAGCAAGGCTTGAGTATACATGTAAAGAGTTGATTTTTAGCATTCAAAATCTGTAAAAAAAAAAGATCCTTTTATCTACTGGAGTATTGGTCTACTGCACAAAGTACAAACCAAAGTAGTATTAAATTAACGAGCATTATCCATTCAATACCTCTCAATTACCTTCCTAAACAATAACTTTTTTTTATTAATAGAGACATTTTTCTCTTCATACTAATTTTTCCTATAACGGTTATAAATGATTTTTTTTGAGTACTCCCTCTATCCTATAATATAAGGCGCGGTCAAAGTTGGCACGGTCTCCAAAACTAATATTTAGCTTATAATTTCTCGTATGCTATAAGGTTTGTAGCAACAAAATTATAACCGTATGAAAGTAATTTTAAATCTCAATCTAATGATATAATTTTTAACAAATAAAATTCATTTCATATTATACTAAGCGTTGGTCAAATGTTTTAAATGTTGAATCTTGAAAATGCATGTGCGCCTTGTATTATGGGATAGAGGGAGTAGTACACTTTCAAGTTTTAACGTGTGTCTACATAAAACTCAGAGCGACCCCTAACAATTTGAGGATTATATATGTGTAAAATGTTAAATAAGACTTTATCTTTAGAAAATACTAATCGCATATATAATAGATCAAGCCTAAATATTTTTTTTACAAAACATTGGGATGGGTCTCTACTACGCATGCAACCAGTGTCCCTCCATAAAAGCTACGATCAAATAATACTCTTTTCTTTAGATATATCCTACTATCAAACGAACAAGAATTGTTCACAACCATAACACTTAGAGCTATGTCAAAGAAGCTCACCTACCTACACATCAATTCAGTTTATTCTTATTTTTAGGGTCATGTATAGTCGCTGTCATCTTACACGTGTATATTACACGTGTATAGAGACAGATCTTGTAAAACTACGTACACTTCTAATTGCGATGCATTTAGTATAACTTAAAAATACACTTATACAGAGAACACAACTAAAAATGCGAATTTTGATACCTTATGGTTTGTGTGAAACCCACAAGCATGCTTTGCACACATTTTCCACCCACACAAATAATTAACTCCAAAAATGAAACTCTCAAAGCATAAATTAAACCAAGCATGCCCAAATTAAGGTGCAAGGGCAAGGGCAAGGTCCCTCCTTTTTCTCCCCTCTTTCCCCCACCAAACCAGCAGCCATCACCGCATGCGTTACTACGTGTGTGCATGGCCTCCCTCACCATCACCACCAGCAGCAGCCAGCCCAACGTATACTCCACTACTACTACTACTACGTCAGTTACACTCCACCACCGCGTCCGCGTCCGCGTCTCGCCGCTCGCCGCCCGCGCGCGCTCGCGTCTCTCGCCTCGCATGCCAAGTGTGCGCCGCCCGCCGCGCCGCGCCGCGCCCCCTAGCGCGCGCGCGCCTCCTCATGACCAACGTGACCCCACCCACCACCAACCCCCGCTTCCGCGTCACTCCGCTCGCCTCCAAAACCACACCGCGCCGCGCTCGCGCTCTCGCTCTCCTCCTCGCTCTCGCTCTCTCGATCGATCGAATCGATTCCCCTCTCCCGAATCATCCCCTCCTCCTCTCGATCCCCTCTCCTCTCCCCTCCCCGCCGCACGAAACCCTAGCAACCACCGCGCCCGCGCAAGCCAAGATGCCTCTTCCCCGCCGCGCCGCCACCGTGAGGATCCGCCGCGGCCAGATCCACCGCGTCACCGCCATGCCACCGCCGCCGCAGCAAGCCCCGGAGCCGGCCGGGCTGCAACTGCTGCTGCAGCCGGAGGTGGTGGCGCCGAACCACCCGCCGCCCGCTCCACCGGCGCCGGCGGCGGTGCCCGCGCCGCCGCAGCCGCAGGGGGAGGCGAGGTACCGTAGGCCGCTGGTGCGGCTGCAGGCCGTCCCCAACGAGGACCACGTCCCCGACAACTACGGCGACGGCCCCGACGAGCTCGGGATCACGCCGGCGGTGTACCAGGCGCTGGAGCGCCACCTGCCGCCGGATCTCGCCGGCGCCCCCGCCGAGGTGAAGCGCTACTTCATGCGCAGCGTCCTCCGCAACTACGTCCCCTCGCCGTCGCAGCGGATCAGGGTAAGTGTAGCTAGTATACGCGCTTTTACTATTTAGGCGTCTCATTAATTAATTCATTTCATCAAATCAAGCTTCATTAATTTTTGATTCTCTAGCAGCTATAGTCATAAATGCAGTTTAATTTGGCTTCATGTACGTAGTAGTCAGTTTTGCTTATTTACAACTGTTTTAAGTTTAATTAACCATGAGTAGTGTGTCTTGCTATTGCATGCATATGATGAGTTGGATATATAGTGTTAGTGTAAGTACATACGTAGTGTGTGTTGTTAATTAATTAAGATGAATTAATCACGTCGTAACTTATGTATAATCTGGAAACTCGTTTGCAGACGCAGAATCAGAGGGAGTACAGGGAAAGGATCTTGTCCGCATACCAGGTACGTATTTTCTTAAGCATTCATTTTTTTTTAAAAAATGCACTCTTGCACTATAATCAAAATGTATACACGTATTAGATAATATATTATGAATATGTAGATAGGAACTCTTTTTTTTTTGTACATGTAAAAATGCTACTCCTTAATTACATGCTATTTGCCTAGCTAGCTAGCTAAGAAAGTATTATTGCTTGAAATGTGCCATAGACACATTTGAATTAAAAAGTGTGAGCCACACTATTTGCACATTTTATATATAGGTGAACACACAAACTCATAGGTATATCATTTACCCTATAATATGTACACTTACAGATTTTTTTTTTCTTATTGGATATTTTCAAGCCATTACATCCGGAGCTGTACACAAATGATCCATCAACTTTCATCCTACCGGCATTTCTTCAAGCCATAAATGGCAACACCGAAGAAAGCATCACAAGCATAATGATGGAGCCAGCACCGGGAGTGTTTGCATTTCCTATGCTGAAGCCCTCATTCTGCCAGATGTTAATGTCAGAGGTATGTGATTATATTGCAGCATGGAATATCATTTTGGATATATCATGTAGTATTATTTTGCTGCTAATTGTGGACACTAATTAATTAGCTTTGTAAACGTATATATATAAGGTTAAGCAATATCGGTAATGCTCGTGTGGTGTTTATTCTCGCAGGTGAACAATTTTTTGAGGTGGGCACAATCAGCGAATCAAAGGATAATGAGACCAACATCCTTAGATAGGCATGGGAGAGGTGCTGCCCTCTCTGATTTTGGCTTGCAAGAGATGTTAGACAATCTGATGAAGGATTTCATCTCACCAATGTCTACAGGTCAATTACTTGTCTCACAACTTGATTTTCTTGTAGGATAGGAAAGTAGATTAAGATTATGATATTCATGTATCAAAATTTTCCTTTCTTTAAAATGAAACGATTAATGACTTAACTCCTTGATCATGCAGTTCTTTTCCCTGAAGTTGGCGGCAATACACTGGACTCCCACCATACATTCGTTCTTGAGTATGGTGAGGCTGATGGTGCTAGAGGTATGCTATAAACATGTAACCACGCATCTATGAATTAATGACTAGAACTATATATAATTGTGCTACATAACTCCCTTAGTTCATTTTACATTTAAGTTTTAGAATATGTGTTGCCATACTTTGATCATCATATCTACGCTCTACACTATATATCTAGCTAGATTGATGATATAAAAACTATATCAATAGATTTAAAGTGTGAAATAACCTTAATAATATTTTAAATTTTTAATTAGGGAGTACCCTAAATATGTACTTATAGAGATATATATTACATGTCGACACTCAAACCATTTGTGTACATGACATATTACACACACTTTTGATGCAAGCGCATATATAGCTAGGAAGTAATGTTTTACCATCATTTTCACAGTAGCTATGTACTCTCTCTGTTTTTATTTTTTGAAAAAACCAACTACTTCTGCCACATCCAAGTACTATGGAAAAAAAAAAACTAGTGCAGTACTACGTGATAAAAATACATCAATAATTAATTCTATATCTGTGTCTCCTGTAGCTATCGGAAACTGTGCCGCACACACGATCGAGGACATTTTGGTCTTTTGTTGTTAGCACTAAATTTGCATCGGGCTTTTGGAAATCTTTTTTTTTTCTGGGACATATATAGGGGAAGCTATCAAGCTATGCATGTAGAAATTAAAATTGCTGTCCTGAGGTAACATATTAACATGATCAGCTTTTTCTTATATATTCTAAACAACAATTGATGGAGATTGCAGGTTTCCATGTGGATGATAGTGAGGTAACACTAAATATCTGCCTTGGCAAACACTTCACTGGCGCTGACATGTACTTCCGTGGTATACGTTGTGGAAATCATGTTAATTCAGGAACACATGATGAGGTACTGATTGATGTATAATTTGTAAATTAAATTAATTATGCACCCATTTTATTTAGATGCCCATTAATTGCCATGGAGCAATGCAAGTTTTTAGTAAATAAAAAAACTATTTTCTTTTAGTGTTAATGCTGATCATATCATCCAAACCTTTTTATTCCTTTGAGCATTTCTCCTTTAGCCTTAACTTTTCTATTGCTTCAGGGGTTGAACCCCACAAGTCATCTACATCCTCACCTTCCTTGAACTTAGCTTTGTTTCTTTTTCTAATCCATCAGTCAAACAATAACATTTGAATGAGAGGATGCATGCATGGCTATGAATATCGACAAAGGTGTTGACTAAAGCTTGACTGTATTGACGGCCATGATGATCCAGTAATGGTTGGCTGGAAGACATTTAGAGCGAGTAGAAATGTCAACACTATCACAAATACAGAGATCTCTAACAGCTCCATGAAAAAGAAATCCATTTGAGATGGTTCTAACTAGATGTCAAATCACTAAAAATTAATCTGGAATGGGTCGCCCAATATTGAACCCGCCACAAACGATCTTTAATATCTCCTAATTTGCAAATCATTACAGATCAGTGAATAATGAATGCAAAGAAGAGGTTGTTCGGAGCTAATCTTTATGATCTAATGCTTAACCTATAACATGATCATGTAATTCATAATTTCTTGTGCGGAATTTGGTATACGAGAAAGGCGGTGGCTGTCTCGCAGAAGAGGGATGGATGAGACAGAATCACGAGAGAGCGTGAGGGAGGGATGATGACAGTGGGCACGCATGCTAGGGTTTGGGTTTGGGGAAGGAGAGGTCAAGGAGGGAGTAGGAGGTAGCGGGCACCAAGTGCATGAGAGGTGACCCAATCGAGCTATCGTTTCCAGTTGATACGACGACCAATAGCTGATGCGTGCTCGGAATCCTGCCTCCGTGCATGGGGCAATGTTGATAGCGCAAGAGGCGAGCACACCTTCTCAAAATGCCATGTCAGCACTAGCTTGGGGAGGGGGGGGGGTAATCTTCAAAGCCATTAGAACCTCTGTGTAGTCAATTGCCTCTTTTGGTTTTGCCATTGAAGTAGAAGCAGTCTCTCGCAAATATGGTTGCTAGCTTGATGACCATCGTCGCTAGTGGCAGTGATAATTAATCTTGTAGGTGTCAATGTCCCTCCAGGGCATCACCTACATTGCTTGAAATGGCTGTTTGGGTCTCCTCCAGTGCTAGTGAGGATAGGGTTTCATTAGGTTTTCCGAAAGTGGGCTTGCCGTGTGAGAGATTGTCGCTTCACGCACAGGGCCGGTTTCCCCCATTTAAAAAGGCCTTGCGGGGCTTGAGGGCATATTCACAAAGAATGAAACTTGACTCCGATCATGGGGCGTACGTAAGGGAAGTGATCATACGGCTTTGGTTATTCATGCAAGATCTTGTTAGGGAAGTGCACATAATCGTGGGGTGGGCCACTTCCCAAACGTGATTCTCGGGTTAGCCAAGATCAACCAATAGGGAACATGGTTTTCCCCTTCGTTCATTGGTTTAAGCAATAAATGGATTTCGGACTTTCTTACTATTATTATTGTTTTTTAAATGGAGAGCATTATACTTTACTTTATCTTATCACTAAAATAGTAGACAAACATAATAAGAACATACTGCATCCCACATTCCAAATTAACACATGCGTACGAATCAACCGATTTCTACAACACAAAGACAATTGTTAAACACTTTGTTCTTTGTCTACTGGTGTATAGTGGGGGCCATATAAACCGATGAACAAATTAGCAAAAAATGTACATAGCTAGAATTGTATAGAAATTCTAGCTATGTGTGATATTTATCCCTGGCTAGAGGATTGAATGTCTACTATTTAATTCTTTTAGCACTTGTATAGCAGATTTTTATCAGATTAATTAACACATGGAATTTGGATGTCTGAAAAATTTCTGTAAATCTGAAAGTAGGTTTTTATTTATCTATAAGTAGGAAATATTTCCGTAAATCTTCTGTAGGAAAAGTCATGTTAAAAGAGATCATATCTACATCTAATAGGTTTCAAAATTGCATTATTCTAGTTTGCAGATGTGTTTTTGTGCTCATTTCCTTTAATTTTGTTACTGTTAATGCATGATTATGCAAATTAACATTTGACATCTTATTTTTGCCCTTCAATACTTATACGATTCAGGAGTATTTTGTACATCCCAACGTGCCCGGACAAGTCCTGCTGCATCATGGTAGTCACAGGCATGGTGTCTTCTCAGTAACATCTGGACGGAGGGTTAACATGGTCATGTGGTGCAAAAGGTAACACTCAATGTAATATTTTTACCTATATTTTTCTTGTATGTACAGTATGTTGGCTACTTTGTTTAGGTGAATTAATCAATATAGGAATTCATATAGTAGTATGTCCATGTAAAATCATGTCCCTTAGTTTCCAACACTTCTAATAAAGGTGAGATTCCATGAGAAATACCAGCTTTCTTGTAAATTTAATTAACCTGATTGAATTGGCTGTTGTTAATTTCTGGGCTGATCTGGAATCATACATGCATGAAAAACCCTAGTATCACCTCAATTTATCGATCTGTAGCTGAAGTAGTGTTTCTTGTATATACAGCTCAGTGTTCAGGGAGATGAAGAAATTCATGACTGATTTTTCTGGGTTTTGTTGCGAGTGCCAGTTTCAGAGGACGGCAAGACAGGTGCAACATCTTCAGGAATTGACGGTTTGTTACTTAACCCAACTCCAATATATAGAAAAGTAGAAGCGATACATATATACATGAATATTCAGTAAATTGCAAGCATGCAGATGCCATTTAATTTCTGCCAACTCCCCTGAAGTTGGAAAACCAATAATAGCGAGTACATGAAACATTTAATCAGGATAAATATTGATAAACACACTGGAATCAATTTAATCTTATATACTCGCTTTATTTCAGTATAGCCTTGCTAGGATTTTTGTAACACCCCACTTAATTTCCATTAATATATTGGCCATCATAAGATAGCATGATCTTTTACCTTTGCTTCTCTATTCAAGTTGCAAGGCTTAAATATTTTATTTTTCATATGAAACTGTTACATTACAGTTAGTACCTATATATAGCTAACCAGCTTGACTACTACCATTCTGAAATCGTTTATGATCACTTGAAATATGCAGGCTCGTATCTCTATCAGCGGACAGGAGTCAGAAGACGAAACTCCTTAATTAATATCTGTCCGATCGAGTTGGCCGGCCAACCAGTTCCTGAACAATTATGAACAGTGAACAGTGAATAATTAAGAACATGTTGTTATGTATTGCATGCTATACCGAATTTACTAGTGTTTTCAATGTATGTTTGTATGAACCTAGCTACTGGTTCATTGAAAACTTGCTGCAACTGACTCGATTGGAGCTCAGGATTAAACAACTTAGCCGGTTAGAGCCTATGCTTGGTTAATTTTCAGGTTGTGTTTGGTTAATTTTCAGGTTGTTGGTTTGATTTCTTGGGTTATTTTTAGTTTATTTGGTGTATAGTGGAGAGCGGCTGTTGAGTTGCTTGTTGCTCTAGATCTAAGGAGTAGCCACAGGAGGAGAATTCGATTTGGGTGAAAAAGGGTGAGAATACCCATATTTTACGACCGAAACTAAGTCAACAACCACTTCAAGATTGACAAGAGAGAACTGTTTTGCCGCGCTATTAAAAAATTTGCCCCTCCATGAAATGACATGATACCTAGATTATGAGTGATAAAAGGTGCAATCTTCCGATGGCGCAAACAAACAAGATGTAGGTGTAAATTTATGGGATTGTTTTGTCGTTTTATTGATTTGTGGGATATTGAGAGGTACATTTATAGGATAGTTTTGTTGCTTTATTGGTTACTGGATATATCAAGGAGTTGCGGTTGCCCTAATTTATAAGCGACAAAAAAGATTGAAGCAATCTTTTAATGGCATGGACAAGCGAGATGACATGTAGAGTGGATGAAATTGCTCGTATGCTAACACTGGGTGCTCCTTTTTTAGCATAACGGTTTCGCTTACCCATTTAGGCACTAGTCCTTTCCCTTTTTATAAGTCAGTGATTTAGTTAACTACCCACACCGTACGAACACTGCCCATGTACTTGTGAATCCACGTGCTATTTGACTTAAGCATTATTTTCAGCTAGGCCTTGAGCGTACGGGACTAAGTGCACTATCTTTTTTATTAATTATTAATTTGTTTTGGAGTTATTTTGAATATCTTCTGAAATTTGAGTACAAATTTTATACCTTTCATGTGAAAGTTTTGTGCAGAAACTCTCTCTCTCTACACACACACAAATTTCATAAAACCCTAAATTTTAGGGTACACGTGACATAAAACCCCATATATTGTGATTTGTTTCAAATTATCGCAGGTTTTAGGCCAAAATGTTTTATTTTTACGTCAATACTCATATTCCATTATTACATATATGATATTTTAAGTATATATTTACATTGGTAGGATAATAAATTTACACACGCTTCTCTATTCAAGTTGGAAAGCTCAAGTATTTTATTTTTTGAATGTTATTACAGGTAGCTATAGCTAGTCAGCTTGAGTACCATTTTGAAATTGTTGCTCGTATATCTATAAGTGGATATATAGGACGAAGCTGCTCCTTAAATCTTAAATAACTGTTGGAGCCAACCGGTCCGTGTTGCTCCGCGAGCACCAGTATGTTATGAATTCTGGACAATGAGTAACATGTCTTTATGTATTGGATGCTATGAAATACCAAATTTAATTACCAGCATTTTTTATGTTTGTTTGTGTGAACCTAGGTATATATTGGTTTAAAACCTTCTGCAAACTGAGGCGATTGACAGCCAAGAATGAATAACCTAGACCTGTGCTTGGTTAATTTTTAGGCCGTTGGTTTGATTTCTTGGGTTAGTTTTAGTTTATTTGATGCGTAAACCGAAGCATCTGTACATTTAACTAGTAGCTAAGGCTGTGTTTTAAAAAATCATATTGATCTATTTTTGAAAAAAAGTAGCTAATACTTAATTAATTACGCACTAATGGACTGCTCCGTTTTCCATGCGCACTGTGCATATTGCAAACATATGATTCCAAAGACAACCTTAAGTGCAGAAGCTAAGTAAGCGAATGCTGCAACCCTTCCAGCTTGACGAGGTATATAACAGTTTTGCCACGATATTGAGAATTTTGCCCCTCCAAGAAATTATATGGGACCTAATTTATGAGCGACAAAAAGATCTTTCAATAACAAACAATAAGAAGTATAATTTATAGGATATTTTTTATGCTTTAATGTTTATTAGAAATATCGAGTAGTTGCATGAGTGACAAAAATTAAATGATGCAATCTTTCGATGGAACGGACATACGATATGACTTATATATACGATTGAGTTGACACAATTGAAAGGGTTGAAATCAGCGACATAATTGAAGTGATGCCAATTGTACTTTTAAATATTTAATCGTAATAAGATAAAAAAAAACCCCAACCATCTTAAATAAGTTAACCTAATACAAGATATGAAATATATGAATCAGAACAAAAATACCTATAATAAGATTTACCACATTCCGCACTGGAGTAGGTATTTCATATGAAAATGCCTATAATATGATTTACCACATTCCGCACTGGAGTAAGAGTAGTAGGTTGAGGAATCAAATAGTAGATAATAACCGTGGTGATTACTTTTTTTTTTCTCATAGGGACCCCCGTGCAACACAGCAGGTAGGAGAGTATACCAGAATATATCGTGCGGATCATTAGACAAGCCCAACCTCGTCATATCACCGCACTACGTACTACGCAGCCTTCAATACCACCCATCAGTAAAAAGCAAATTTCAGACCAAACAATAATCACACAGGATATATGTCCTAAAAATTCACCAGTCCATGACTTCATATATAAACCATTGTATTACCCAGGAAAACAGTGAGCATTCAGTAACATCAACATCCAGTCCAAAGTCTAAACCATCTTTAGTGATGGTAAGATTGATGCCCAGCACCAGCACCATAGCCATGGCCGGCTCCAAATGTCGCTCCAGGTCCACCGTACAGCACCCCAGCACGGCGCGTGCCCATGGAGCTTCCCGGTGCGAAGTGCGGCCGAGCACCTGGTGCCGGTCCGACAAAACCGGCACGATCGGTGTAGGGGAAAGAGTGGGAGGCCGGGTTCCGAAAAGATGACCCGTAGTTCGAGTTCGAGCCCCTTGAGTACTTGGAGGGAGGGAAGGACTGAGGCCCGGATGCTCCCCGAGCTCGCTTGTTGTTCTGGAATCTGTTCATGCCACTCGGCTTCCTCCTGTCAGCCTTCTCTTTCTCCATCCTTGCGACCTTCTTCCTTATGCCATCGAGGTTAAATGCTGATGTTAGCTGGCATGTCTCGACACACCTGATGATGGACTTGTAGGCGTTGCACTCCGAGTTGTTTGCCTCTTCCTGAGAAAGAAAACATGAGCCCTTCTTTAGTATGAGAGTATACTAATGTAGGACAGAACAAATAACAAAAGATTTGGTGCAAGAGACAAAATACGGTAGAAGTCCATGAAAAGAAATGCCAAGTAAATCCAACACTAGAGATCAGGCTGGACTAGAGATATATAGGCCAACAGCTCTCCAAAATTCTCAACAGCCTTATACTGGGCTGTTATTTGTTAAGAACTCAGGTAAAATACATTTCGAATAAACTGTTAAGAACTGAAGGTAGACCGGGCAGGGTTTCGCAGAAAGTGGTATGCAGGTACTGCTAGCATGCTAAACCTGCTAATATTAAGTCACAAACTGACAGAATCATAGGTGGTTTGACAACGATAGTAGTAATATTAAATCACATATAGACCATAAAAAAGGAACTCCTCGTGCAGGTGGAGGCTTCAAGTAGAGAAAAAAAGGACCTGCCTAAATGAGTCATGCAAAAAGATATGCTAAACAGTAATACATAAGGCCTCTGACTAAATAGAATCATGTGCTAACATAGTAACGAAAAATACCTCTGCCTAAACAGAATCATGCACAAAACAGTAATAAGAAGATATATTGGGATGGAAATGGAATGGAGAGTCTTACCACAACAGAATTTGAATGTCTTCCACCTCTCAGTGCAACCTGAGTCTTGTTAGTTATTCTCTTTATATAAGACTTAAGAAGCGGTACAGGTGGAAATCGCTCAAGCAAACCAGCCTCATGGGCGATATGAATAGCTTCTATCTCATTTCCTGACTTTATGAATTCCTCAATAACATCTGAAACACAAAACCATATTAGTTTTGTCATGTTTTATTTTCTCCAGGTTAAAATAATGCTAACCGTGATAGATGAATTGAAATGACTAAAATTAGTAATTAAATTGTGCGAAGTTCAAAATCAACTCAACAAAAGATTGATATAATTCAAAGTAATTGCAGAAATCACTTTATCACTGGAAAGTAGATATTGGTCAGTAAACAAAGCATCAATAAAAAATGCATTCAAATGCAGCCCATCGATAAAAATAGCAGAAATCAGTTGTGATGGCTTTTAGTTCAAGATAAGATCACGGTATCAACAGCGATAGCAGATATCGCTTGTGAAACTTCATCATTCAAATTGTAGCTCTACATCAAACAAAGCCATGATGAGTTGATCTCTTCAGTAACCTAAATTTCAAGTCCATACTCTTTTAGCAGAGACTATGGAGCCCTATACTTTTGGGGAGTTTCCTCTGCTGGAGAAGGATAGTAGTGAATGAAGATGAATTTTAGATGAAAAAGTAGCCTGTTTTAATGAATCAGTTGCTAGCACACAAAAAGATATTTCATAACTAATAGATTGAGCAGCGGTTCGTATACTGCCTGAAAGGGAATATTTATTATTTGCGTTATATCCTGCCATAAGAAGACCAATAGAAACAATACTTGAAATGGCAATTCATTACAGAGCACCAATGCTAAGACCTTTCGACTCCTAACTAAAGAGGTAGCCACTGAAGTATCACAAGAACAAATATCTAAATAGAAAGAAATTGATGCTTAAGTTGCCGATTTGAAGTAACAGCCCAAATATTTCTCAATCTAGGTATTGACTCAAGATTATTATAATCCTCATATGCAGTAGTACTTTTAATTCTTATTGATATAGTTCATAACCTGCCCTATGATCTCGATTCAACAAACCTAGGATATGTTCTTAAATCAGTTCAATGAAAGCGAAAGCAACAGATAAAAGCAACACACCATTACCTCTGAGGCTATCCTCGAAACCAAGGACGCAAGCGATTCTGGCAAGTTCCCTCCTCCGTCCATTATCAACTAATAGCCGCCTCAAGAAATCTACATCATACCTATCTTTTAGTCCAAATGCAGCAACCATCTGCAGGAATATCTGCACCTCTGCCTGTCCACCCTTCTCTCCCTCCTTCACCTCTCTTCCCGACGCCTTCTTATCTTCCTCGACTTTCCTCTTCTCTACTTCCCCTGTCTTCGCCGCATTGGCCACCTTGGCTTCCGCCTCTCCTCCTTCCTTCTCTACTTCCTCTGGGTCCTCTTCTTCCTTCTCTACCTCCTCTGCATCTGCCTCTTCCTCCGACGCGGGCACCATTTCCTCTGGGTCCTCCTCTTCCTCCTCTTCTTCCTCATCTACATGCTCTTCTTTCTTCTCTGTCGCTGTTGCGTTCTCCACCAAAGGCGCTTCTGTCATCTCCACCTCATTGTTATCCGGTGCATACAATTCCATCTTGATCCCAAATTTCTCTGACCAATTCTTGGCAACTCCGGCCGCCCTCTCAACCAGCGTATCTCCTATCTCCGGCGGCTTCCGGCCATCGGAATCAAACAACGAGCGCAGCAGTATGCCGAGCACCCAGAACTGGTCCTCACCTGCACCATCCTCCGCGGCCAAGAAGTCGGCGAGGGCGTCGAGCACGAGGCGGGGCGGGTCGACCGACGCGGCGACGGCGGGGCCGACCTCCTTCCGGACGGCGGCGAGCTCCCGCCGCCGCGCCGCCATGAAGCGCCACAGCGCGGGGGCGTCCATGCGGCCGCACATCCACCGGAGCGCGCCGCGGACGTCGGCGGGCGGGGGCTCCGCGGACCCGGCCTCCGCGACGGCCGCGGACAGCGCCGCCTCGGCCTCGGCGAGGCGCGCCGGGACGGCGGCCTCGCGGGCCTCGAGCGCCGCGAGGGACTCGGAGGTGGAGGCGCCCGCGGCGGCTAGGGCGTCGTCGAGCGACGCGGAGCGGGCGGCGAGGTCCTCGTCGAGCGAGGCGAAGTGGGCGAGCGCGCGCGACCAGGCGTCGTGGCAGGAGGCGAGGAGCTGCTGGTGGGAGTCGAGGTGGGCGAGGAGGCGCCGGACCTCGCCGGCGGCGGCGGCGGAATCGCCGGTGGCGGCCATGGCGGTGAGAGCAAGCAGGTTGGGTTTGGATTGGAATCGGGGCGGCTCAGATGTGGGTGGAGATGGAGGTGGGCTTTCTATTGGGTTTTAATTGGGCCATAATGGACTTGTGCAATATTTAATGGGCTTTCTGTTGGATTTTTATTTGGGCCTTGGTGGTGAGACGGACCAAAGCAGGTTTGGGTTTGGACTGAATCGGGGCGGCTCAGATGTGGGTGGAGACGAAGGTCTTGTAATAAGTTCACTTTGGGTCCCTCTATTTGTCGACCATTGACCACAAAACCGGGTATGACCCGTCCCCCAACTTACGAAAACCAGACAAACGAGGTCCATAGGCGGTTTTGATAGTGGTTTTGGCTGACATGGTGCCTACGTGGCTTGTTTGACTAGGTCTCCATCACATGTGGCACTGATGTGGAGCTTACGTGACAAATATATCTACGAAAAATAATAAAAAGCGTGGCCCCATATGTTCGCTGCACACAAAAAAAAAATTTAAAATGGTGGGGCCCACACGGGCCCCATGTCAGCCTCACTCCTCTCTCCTTTCCTTTCCCCTCTCTCCTTCCTGGACAGCGGACGGCGCGGGTGGGCGGCGCAGCAGGCGAGCTCCGGCAGCGGCGGCGGGCATGGTCGGCGCCGCCCCCCGACAGGAGCGCCGCGTACAGCGCGGCGTAGGCGAGCAGCCACGCGGAGTTGGAGAAGTTGAGGCACGCTGCACGGCCGCGGAGAGCGGGCATGGCGGCGTCGTGCGCGCGCGTGACGGTGTCGGCGCCGTCGAACTGCCGAGCCAGAGCCTGCAGCCGCGGCGCCCCAGCACGCGGACCTCGCACACCCACCGCCCCGCGCACATCTATCGCGCTCGCCGGCGACCGCTCGAGCAGGCCAGAGGGGCGGCGAAGCGGGGGTGAGCGGACATCGTCGCGGCCGTCGACCTTGCCGGGTGGTAGAGGAGCGGCCGTCGACCTTTCACATTTTTTTGGTAAGTCAGACAACGAAGAACTAGAAATGAACAAAAGGGATTTCATAGCTATGCTGAACCTTGACCCACTTAGGAAATTCATAATCAACTAAAATTTTCCTTTTCTTTTCCACTTCAATGTTGCAAATCATCAATAAGAATCAAAATCATAGACAGTATATTCCTCCCTTTATTACTAGTTACGAGTAGTAGTACAATCGCTCAGCGGCGACATGAGGGATAACCAAAGCGGTTGGCTTCAACAGCGCCGGACGAAATCGGTCACGACGGCGAGCTCCTTGACGGCATTGTCGCAGTTAGGGATGAAAACGGATCAAATACGGTCGGAAACTAATTATATCATATTCGTTTTCATTTTTTTTTTCGGAATCGAAATCGGATACGGATACCCGGATATGAAAACGGAATCGAATATTATCGAATACAAATATGGAGCAAATACGAAACGAAACGAATACGGTGACGAATATTAATCAGAATATAAAGACCCCTCAAACTAAGCATCACAAATCAACGAAGAAATATAACTCATTATTTTTTCTAATAGGACATATCAATATTTTCAAAATTTAGCAATTAATAATAAACAACTACAAACTTGCACACACTGATATTATGAAATACCATCCATCATCATGTGAAGTGAAAAGGCAAAGCACTACTAGGCATGCCAGATACTGTCAACCAATCTTTTTAGTCTAAACTCTGAAGTCTGAACCACAGTTTTTTTTCAACTGAAAACACATGTAAAATTCATAGAGCATGGTAAAGCCACAGCTGCAGCCTGCAGAACAAACTACCGCAAGGCACAAGCCTATTTATGATATAATCACACATGAATACACAATCATTAACACAAACGGCGGCGACGTTGGCTTGGCCCGGCGGCGGCGTCGCCTTGCCCCTGCGGCGGCGATGTGGCAAGCCAGAGGGCTCGGCAGGCGAGGAGGCGATGGGGCGCCGCGGCGGCGGCGTTGGCTTGGCCCGGCGGCGGTGATGTGGCGCGTGACGGCGCGAGGAGGCGATGGGGCGCGGCAGAGCCGGCGTTGGTTGCTCCGACGGCGGCGATGTGGCGACTGGGCGAGGAGGCGATTGGTCCCGACGGCGGCGGCGGCTTGGCCCCGCAGCGAGGAGGCGACGACGGCTTGGCCCCGCGGCGGCGCCGACAGGGCACGCCGGCGGCGGCGCCGGCCGATGAGGAGGTGAGGAGTGCGCCTGTGGGACTCTGTCTGGGACTGGACAGTGGGAGACTGGGAGTGGACTGGATCTGAATGGATGGAGAATTGGAGACTTCTAGGGTTTCTTGTAAGTCAGATATCCGGTGAAAAAAACCGGATAGTTTCCGACTATTATCTGATTCCGACGGATATCACCTATATCATATTCATTTTTGTATCTGCAAAAAAATATCTGTATTTGTTTCCGTATCCGAAAATTTTCGAATATATCCAACCGAAACAATCTGTATCCGAAAAATGGTCCGGTCGGTCGGAAATTATCCGAATCACTTTCAACCCTAGTAGCAGTTGGGCTTGGGCAAGAAGAAGATTTCAACCCTAGTAGCAGTTGGGCTTGGGCAAGAAGAAGACATGGCCCTCGCCCTCGGTCTCGTGGAACTCCAGCTCGCCGTCCCACTCGCACTTCTTGATCCCCTCCGCGTACGAGCGTGCCCTCTCCACGAACCAGTAGTGATCCGCCGTGGTGACCAGGACGCGGCTGGCCCTGAGCTGCCTCCACTCCTCCGGCACGCCAACGAGTTGACGCACGGGCGGTCGAGGCCGAGCTTGCCGGCGCTGGCGAACTCCCACGTGCCGTGGAACGAGCCGCGGTAGCCGGCGTCGGTGGACTCGCCGCCCAGGGGTCCTTCCCCTAGAAGTAGAGGTCCACATGGGCCCACCATTTATTATTATGTGTGTGCAACTGACACGTGGGTCCCATGGGTTATATTATTTTTTGCGGTTCTAATTGCTACATAAGCGCCACGTCAATGACACGTTGGACAAAGACCTAGTCAAAATGAGCCACGTAGGTGCCACCTAGGGATAAAACCGGAGCGGATAGTTTCCGTCCGCTCCGGATAAAAACGAATACGGATACCTCTCGGATCGGATAATTCTCGGATAGTTCGGATACGGATACGAATACGGATATTTTCTCTCGGATACGAATACGAATATGGTATCAGGTCGGATACGGATAATAATTCGGATATCCGGTGAACAGTGCTATTCGGATATCCGCAGAAGCCACCAGACATACCCCATTTCTTTATAACTCTATGACCTTCAATATACCTTTTTAGATTTTAATAATAGTTCATCTCTTAACACTAGTCCACATTATTAATATTATTTAAAATTTTAAAAATATTTATAAATTATACTATATTTTATATAAAATGATCTAATTATATATGTTGATATTTGTTTCTATTAGAAGTTGAATTGGTTTTCGTATTCCGAGAAAAATTTGTTTTCGTATTCGTGTCCGATCATATTCGATTCTTATTCGTATTCGAGATAGTCCGTATTTGTTTCCGTATTCGAGCTATCCGTATTTGTTTCCGTATCCGGCAAAAAATATGAAAACGAATATGGTATGAGCATTATCCGTCCGTATCCGCTCCGTTTTCATCCCTAGTGCCACCTCAGCCAAAACCACCGAGGGACCTCGTTTACCTGGTTTTCATAAGTTGGGGGACCTGTTGTACCCGATTTTGCGAGCAAGGGATGAAAATCGGACTGGGCAACAAATAGAGGAACCCAAAGAGGGACCCAAAGTGAACTTATTTCGGAGGTCTTTGACTCCCTCAACTATGATCCGAGTATGATTCATGGCCTCCAACCACAAAACTGTGTATATTGACTCCTCCAACTATCAAAACCGATGCAAACTATATCCTTGGGTGGTTTTGAAAGCGGTTTTAGCTGACGTGGCACCCACGTGGCAGTGTTGACCCAGTCTTCGTCTCGCGTGTCGTCGACGTGTCGCTTATCTACATGTAATAAAAAAACTTGTGGGACCGACATGTCATTCACACAAAAATAAAATAGTGGGACCCACGGACATGTGGGCCCACATGTCATCCTCACCTCTCCCCCCTCTCTCTCTTTCATCTTTTCCACTCCTCTCACCTTCCAATAGTAGAAGCGGGGCGGCGGCGACGGCGACGACGCACGGGGGAGGAGCTCGCCGGCCGTCCACACTCGGGGGAGGAGCCCGCCGGCCGTCCGCGCGCGGGGGTGGAGCTCGCCGGCCGTCTGCGCGCCGGGGGAGGAGCTCGCCTGCCGTCCGCGCGCGGGGGTGGAGCTCGCCTGCCGTCCGCGCGCCGGCGTCCGCGCGCGGGGGTGGAGCTCGCCGGCCGTCCGCGCGCCGGGGGAGGAGCTCGCCGGCGTCCGCGCGCGGGGGTGGAGCTCGCCGGCCGTTCGCCTTCAGGGGGAGGACCGGAAGGAGCTAGCCGTGCTTTAATTTGGGCATACGTACATATCGATCCATCGATGCAAATGCATGCTTGCATATGCTTTCACTGTTCTGGATATGGTTTCAGATAAGCTAAGTAGCTCGTCCGGCCGTCCACGCGCCGCGCGCCGGGGAGGAGCTTGTGCTTCGTGCTTCGGCCGGCTGATGGAAGGTGAGAGAGGAAAAAATGAGGGAGGGGGGGATTGAAAATGTGGGGCCCACATGTGGGTGGTTTTTTTTTAATGTGCGAATGACACGTCGGTCCCACAATTTTTTTTACTCTGATGCCATATAAGCGACACGTCGACGATACGAGGGACGAAGACCGGGTCAACACCGCCACGTGGGCGCCATGTCAGCCAAAACCGCTTCTAAAACCACCTAGGGAGGGATATAGTTTGCACGGTTTTGATAGTTGGATGAGTCGATATACCCGGTTTTGTGGTTGGAGGTCATGAATCATACTCGGGTCATAGTTGAGGGGGGTCAAAGTATACTTTTTCCTTCCTATTTGGATTGTCCGAATTCTTCATGTTGGGCTGGTGGGCACAAAACGAACTCTACATGGGCTGCACAAGCGCTCTCATAGCACTTAAGGCCTTGTTCGGTTCCTTAGGATTTAATCCCCAAGTGGAATATATCCAGGGAGGGATTGAGTGAATCCCTCCCATATGTCACTCGACTCAATCCCTATGGGGGTTGGAATCCCTTGCTCTCTCCTATTCCCTCTTTTAAACCCCATGTTCGTTTTAGCCAGAGATTTTAGCTATCAAAATATGATAAATCTCATGGCTGCTCCTTCGAGCAGACCTGCTTTTGTTCTATCAGCCGACTGTAATCAGACCAGAATTACGTCAAAGTTTTCATTTGCAATGGCTGTAACGAGCAGCTAATATGAGCAGCGATGCTTCAAAGCTTGTCAGGACAGTATTGCAGATTAGAAGCACAGGAAAAACAATGATGGGTACAAAGAAAAAAAATGATGTCGACAGTATCAAATATCACACATTTCACTGTGTGGGAGCACTCAGTTTAAACACATTTTTTGTAACTCAGATACATCACAAACTAAACAGGTTTATGAGTGGAATGAGCTGAGCAGCAGGAGACACTATAATGATGCCCTGACTTTCGTCATGCTGTCTGAAGCAATAAATCTTCAGGAACTTCAGAAAATTACTACCATCAAATAAATTATCTGGAATTTCCCTACCAGTCGATTTCATGGAACCTACAAAGCATAATGAGTAAACATTAGCTTTCCTATCTCACAAACAGATAAAAGGAAACAAAACTTGAGATGATTGAATTTTCAGAAGATGCAGAAATCATGTATAACAAATATATATGGCCAATGCAGAAATCATGTTTATCTTGACTTGTCTGCATTTTCAGAAGATGCAGAGATCATATATACAACTTATATAGATATACAATAAAATAATAATTGTCAATGCACGGCTACATGCTTTTTTTGACTTTGTATTGCAGTACAGAGAAATGGAGACTGCTATGTTATCTAGCAGCTACAGGCAAAAGGTCAAAAAGGGAAAGCAACATGTATACTGTACTAATTAGTAATTTACTATAGATAAGAATGGTCAACATTTATGAAGAACACACTTCAGTAATTAAATTCAAATGAAAAGTAAACAGTGGTAACTATGGCTGAGGAACAATCTTTGCGGATGGCATGTAAAAACTAGGATTTGCATCAGTGTAGGATACATATAAGTGATTTTAGGGTATCTAGAGAAGAAAAAGAACTTGGTGACAACTCAAAGTTATGCACAAGACACGAACTAGGATCATCGTCAACTTTTGGCATTCTTAAACATGTTGGACATGACATGAAATAGAATCTGTTTCAATAACTAGAATATGCTTCAACAATTTTGGCCGTTCCTGTATCAAAGTGCAATAGAAGATACCAAGAAGACCTAGTTTACTCAAATACAGAAAACTGAATTGCTGGCTCCCTAAAATTTGCCTTGTTGTTTTTTTTTTGGGAATTTCAGTTATGTTCATTTTGGCCATGAGTTGCAGCTAAACTTATCATTGGCACAAAAGACTTGAACATGAGTTCTCAAAAAATCTATAACCATAAAACATACATATCTATCATACAGTACCAATCTTGGTAATCAGGTAGAACTAGTTCTTGGTGAATCAAAGACAAGGAAAAAAGGAAAATCTCTGCACTGCAAGTCTGCAACTATATCTACATGACTCTGAATTTCTTCAGATTTTGCAATCTTGAGAAGAATCAAGTTCGAATCCTGCAACTTTGGAAAGTAAAAGAAAGAAGAAACTCTTCTGTACTGCACCTGCAACTAGATGACTCTGAATTCCTTCAGATTTCGCAAACCTGCAACTGCAACTACATGACTCAGATTCCGACGTGGAGGGTGCCGACACTTTGAAGGCTACGGGCCAAGAACCAAGAACCCTCTCCTCCTCCTTCTCCTCCTCTCCTCTCCTCTCTGGCGTCCAAGAACCCTCCCGTGTCCCGGCAATGCCACCGCCGGAGCCGAACAAGGACAAAGCGCTGCCGAAGCCGAAGCCACCCAAGCCCAAGCCCCAAGCCAGAGCCGAAGCTGAACACGCGGTCGGCATTGGCGCCGGAGCACGACCAGACGGCCGGCCCCTACGGCACGGTGCGTGCGACGACGGGAAAGCCGGAAAGGGAGAAGAGAAGGAAACCCTACCCTAACTTTGAAAGAGGAGGGGAGAGGGGGAAGGGAAGCGTGCTCACTGGAGAGAAGGTGGCGGCCGGAGAAGAGAGCTATGCCGTCGCCGTCGCCGTAGCCGTCGCCTCTGGGTCGCGCCGCGCTCCGCCCCCGCCGTCGCGTCCGTGTCTTCGTAGCGCCGCCGCTCCTCTCGAGGAATTTTTCCGCTCCTCTCGAGTAGGTGATTTTTTCCTGGGCCTACAGAACAGGGAAATCCCGTGGTGGGCTGGGCTAAAATCCATGCTAGGGATTAACCGAAGGAATAAGTCCACTGTGACTCCCTTAAAAGTAACATGAATCTAATCCGTAACCCTCAACCGCAAAACCGGATAGAACGACTCCCCAAACTATTGAAACCGGTGCAATTTGACTCCCTTAACGATTTTGGACGGTGGTTTCGCTACGTGGTGCTTACGTGACGGTGTTGATCTAGTCTGGTCTTGATGTGGCGCTTAGGTGACATTTAATTAAAAACATATTTGTGGGATCCATTTGTCATTAAAAAAAGTGGAGTCCACTGACATGTCATCCTCTCTCTTTCTTCTTCCTCCCTCCCTTTCTCCCTTCTCTCTTTCTCTCCCCTTCCACCGTCCGCGGGAGCACGGCTGGAGCGGCGGCGGGGCGGGGGCCGAAGTACTGGCGGCCGGCGGGAGCTGAAGCGGCGGCGGGTTGGAGCTAACGCGGGTGGAGGCGGAGCAGAAGGAGGCGGCGACAGGAGGGGCTTGAGTGGCGGCGACGGTGGAAACCGCCCCACGCCACAGACCTCCAACGAGGCGGCTGCGGCTGCAGCTGCCTCTGACTAGCGCGCTGGATTATTCCTAGCCTCCGTCAGCTCCAGCCCACTTCCGCCGCCCGCCGCTCCAGCTAGCTCCCGTGTCAGCTCCCGCCGGCCGTCACCACTCGGGCTCCTGACGACGGGGAGGAGCCTCGACAACGGGAACAGGTCAGCGACGCCGAACCTAGTCGCCTTCTTCTGCGCCTCACCCAGTGTCTCCAGGAACTCCTCACGCCACCGGAAGCCGCACTCCCCCATGATGGCGCGCAGCGTCAAGTCGGTTAGCGTCCCGGTGATCTGCCTGCTCACGTTCAGTGCCGGCAGCGGCGGTGATGGCGCCAAGGAGCGCACCCGCCAAAGAGTATCCCCACTGTGGTGCCGATGGAGTCCCTCACTGTACGCCCAGCCATAGAGGTCAAAGCCCCCGGGCCAGGCGCCAGGAGGAGGCCGAGCTCCATGAGGCGGGCCTATGTAGGCCTAACAGGTGTCACCGGACACCGGGTAATTTTTTGTGTCAAGTTATAGTATATAGGTATATACAGCATGGGACACCCAAAAAAAAATTGGATTGGACCCCGGCCTGTCCAGATAACTTACTAAAGCCCAACTAAAGAAACAATCCATCAAAGCTCACGTTAGCCCAACTAGAGCCCAACTATTCGTGGGAAGGTGAAACGACGCCGTGTATCTCGAGACTGAATTAACTGCGTCTCCGGCTCTCCGCTCCTTTTCCTCGTCAGTCGTCGGTACTCTTCGAGACTCGAGACACTGAGGGGCTGTTTGGTTCCCAGCCACACTTTACCATTACTTGCCAACAAAAGTTCCCACATCTTGTCTAAGGTGAGGTGATCAAATTGTTAGCCACAACTTACTAAGCCTAAGGGAATCTTGCCACACTTTTTTGAGCCATTGACACGTGGGACCCAATTTGTTGGAGGAGAATCTTGCCACAACTGTGGCTACAACCAAACACCTGTCAAATTTGCCTAACCTTAGGCGTGGCAAACTGTGGCAAAGTGTGGCTTGCAACCAAACACACCCTGAATCGCTGCTCTTGCTCGATCCTTCTTTTCGCTCAATCGCTGCTCTACTCAGATCAAGATCAAGATCAAGCACCGCGCCCGCGCGGCCGACGACACGCTGCGTGTAGGCCACGGCGAGCGGCAACAGCATGCATTCGCGTACGCTCGACTTCCAGTCTTCCACCAGTTGCAACTTGCAAGGTTTGTTTTCTACCATTAGTCCAGAATTCAGATTATTGGATTAGGACATTAGTTCATTCAATATTCTTTAGTGCTGTCAGAGTAGGAGCATCAAAACATTTTAATTTATTCAATCATTTTTTAGTTGTCCACATTCTGTATCGCTGCTTACTGATTGGTGCTTGCACTAGAATAACTGGTTGGCAGTGAGCTAAGTGGTTAGCTAACTGATTGACATGGGAATTTATGGAAAAGTATTACAAGAGAAAATCTCCATCACATGGAGAAGATGTTGCCCCATCGCAGCCATCACACAGACATAATGCTGCTACATTTAATAGAAGAGATGTTCCTGAAGATATCAATTGGGAAGTGGAGATTCAATTTGATCCTGGCAAAAGGAAAAGAATTGAGGATTATCATCCCAATCAAAAGGAGATGGTAAGAAGAAAATACTTGGACAATGGGCCTTGTCAACCTCGTCCGGATGATCTCCCTGTTACAAATATTGGTGGTAGAGATAGAAAATTTAATCCTGAATGGTATGATGAGTTTGGCAGTTGGCTTGAGTATAGTGAGTCCAAAGATAAAGTTTATTGCTTTTATTGCTTTTTGTTCAGAGACCCTAATAAGAAATCAGCAGGGTATGATGCATTTGTTACAAGTGGGTGGTCTAGTTGGAACAAAAAACACAGATTGAAGGAACATGTTGGTGATATTGATAGTGTTCATAACCAAGCAATGAGGGATTGTGATGCTTTACTGAAAAAAGAGCAGCACATTGATGTTTCTTTGAACAACCAAAGTAATGCTGAGAAAATTGCTTATTATACTCGGTTAAATGGCTCAATTGATGTTACTAGAATCTTACTGAAGCTAGGTATGCCTTTTCGGGGCCATGATGAGAGTGAGGAGTCTCTCAATAAAGGAAATTTCAAGGAATTTCATGCTTATACCGCAGAGCAAAATCCAGCTTTACACAAGGTTGCAGGTAAAAATGCTCCTGGTAACAGTCAGTATACATCTTCAAAGATTCAAAATGACATCATACGTTGCTTTGCAAAAGAGGTACTGCGTTATATTCTTGAAGAAGTTGGGAATGATGTTTTCTGCTTGCTGGTTGATGAGTCAAGGGATGTGTCTTACAAGGAACAAATGGCAGTGGTCTTGCGTTATGTTGGTAAATGTGGCAGTGTTAAAGAGAGACTAGTTGGCCTTGTTCATGTTAAAGAGACGACATCTATGTACCTTAAGTCTGCCATTGATGATTTATTTGCGGAGCATAAGCTAAGTTTGAAACAAGTGAGAGGACAAGGATACGATGGTGCTAGCAACATGAGAGGTGAGTTCAATGGTTTGCAATCACTAATTATGAGAGAAAATAGCTCGGCATATTATATTCACTGCTTTGCACACCAGCTTCAGCTAGTAGTTGTGGCCATTGTAAAGAAACATAAAGGAATCGGAAACTTTTTTGATATGATTTCTCTTTTATTAAATGTGGTTGGTGGATCTTCCAAGAGAAGGGATATGATTCGAGATATAAATGCAGAACATGTGCATGATGCTTTAGAATGTGGGTTACTTATAACTGGTTCAGGATTGAATCAGGAAATATCCCTTCAAAGGCCTGGAGATACTCGTTGGAGCTCTCACTATAAGACACTGAAGAGTTTGGTTCAATTGTTCCCTACAACTGTTAAAGTTCTAGAGTATGTGGAAGAGAATGACAGGGATGACAAAAATAGTAGGCAAGCAGCTGGCCTCCTTGTTTATTTTCAGTTATTTCAGTTTGTGTTTTATTTGCAGCTTATGTTGAATATCTTGGCAATCACAAACACCTTTTCCGTAACTTTACAAAGAAAGGATCAAGACATTGTCAATGCTGTTAATTGTGTAAAATCAACTAGAAATCACTTGGATGAGTTTAGGAGGAGTGGTTGGGAATCTATTTTAGCTGAGGTGCATAACTTTTGTGAGAAGTATGACATTTCAGAATTGGAGATGGAGGATGCATACATAAATCCAAAGAGGCCACGCCAAAAAACTGGGATTACAAACAAGCATCATTTTGAAGTTGATTGTTTTAACGAAATTGTTGATTGGTTGCTTCAAGAATTGGACAATCGCTTTAATGAGAAAACATCTCAGTTACTCATATGTGCAGCTGCCTTAAGTCCTAGGCAATCATTTCATGATTTCAATTTAGAGCATTTGATGAGTTTAGCAAAACTTTATCCAAAGGATTTTGATGATGGGGAACTAATGGATCTTAGACATCATCTTTCTCTTTATATCGCTGATGTGCGTGGAGATGATAGATTCGCTAACATTGAAACTATATGTCAGCTTTCCCAAAAAATGGTGGACACAAGAAAACATATTTGCTATCCATTGGTTTACCGGCTTTTAAAGCTAGCATTGGTTTTGCCTGTTGCCACTGCTACAGTTGAAAGATGTTTTTCAGCCATGAAAATTGTGAAGACGTATTTGCGCAATCGCATTAGTGATGAACACTTGAGTGATTGTGTTATTTGCTATGTTGAGAAACAAGAATTGATGAAAGTTACCAACAGTGCAGTAATTCACCGATTTGAGACCTTAAAGGCACGTTTACATGATGTTTTTACTAAGTGATCTCTTCTCTTTTCTAGGCAAAACAATATGTGGTTTTGGAGGTTTTTATCCTTTTTTGCTCGTTTTGTGATGGTGGATCAATATTTCAGTAAGCACTTCATTCCTATGACTTTATAACTCTGTGTGGCACTTAATTATATTACTCTATGTGTCATATTGGTTATTAATATTGTGTGTTGTCTAGAGCTATGATATGCATAGGACCCCGGGTCATTTTTGTTCTGGGTTCACCACTGATCCTCGCCTTTGGCCATGTAGCGATGCCTGCCTTGGGACGAAGGCGAGGCATATCATCACCTACTCGACATGATTTTTGATGAGCAGGAAGTAATCGAGCTATACAGCTATACACATCCTCTTGCTTGCTTGCCTTCTCCTATGCTGCTACATTGGTGTGTTTGTTGTACTGCTGCTCGACTCTGCCGAGGCTGACCCGTGGAGCATTGTGGGGGTTGGCCGGATTGCCGGGCTGGGTTCGTGGATTGCATCCTCGGAGACCGCCGCCATCACGCATGCGGATACGCCGAGGTCGAGGTCGATGGCGATGGGGACTGCCGCGTCAGCCATCGCCGCCGCCGCCGCTCCGGCTCCCGCTTGCCGTCGCCGCCCTTGCCTGCAGATTACGCTACGAGAGAGAAGGTGAAGAGAAAGGGGGGAGATAAAGAGAGAGAACGGGGAGAGAGGGAGGGGGAAGGAGAGAGAATGACATGTAGGCCCACATGTCAGTGGGGCCCACAATACTTTTTATGTGTGAATCACATGTGGGTCCATAGTTTTTTTTAATTCTAATGCCACGTAAGCGCCACGTGGGACGAAAATTAGGTCAACATTGCCACGTCAACGTCACATCAGCAAAACCACCCTCCAAAACCAAATTGCACTGGTTTCAATAGTTTAGGGAGTCATTCTATCCGGTTTTGCGGTTGAGGGTCACATATTAGATTCGGGTTACTTTTAAGGGAGTCAAAGTGGACTTATTCCTTAACCGAAGGCACAATTTCGCATGGGCCGGGATTGTTTCCTCGCCAGGATGATCCACGGGGATTGGGCCCCGATCCCGGCCATTCCCGGCCCAACCGAACAAGGTCTAATGAGTATTGGGCTACAAACGTTCTTATTTGTTCATATCTTTCACGGTACGGAAGGACGAAGTACTAGCGGATAGTTTTAATCAACCAAGTATACATGGTGACACGCTTTTTAAATGGCTAAATGGTGTGCTTCGTGTGAAAACTTATTATATGAAAGTTGTTCTAAAATATCAGATTAATCCATTTTTCAAGTTTGTAATAATTAAAACTCAATTAACCATACGTTATTAACACCTCATTTTACGTGAAACACTTAATCTTCATCTTCAGTACATTCAAACACCACCATAGTATCAGCAGAATAAAGATATGATCAGTTTACAACAGTGGAAAACCAAATCCTAGATAAAACTCTTCCTCACCCTTTTGTCTACGGATCAGGAGCAAAGGAGGAGGAACCAATGAGGAACCGAGAGCCAACCTGGCGATGATCACCGATTCACCGCTCTCACCAGTCCACGTTCGTCTTGATAACGGCCGCAGAGATCTTTGGAAAACCATGGATAGGAGCGCCATCCTTTGCTTCGCGGCTACGGCTAGCTGCCCTAGGTGAAACACGAAAAAACACCATGGATGGGAGCGCCATCCTTTGCTCACTCATATCTATTTATGAGTGAGTTGAGTATTGAATACGAGAACTCGGACTTGAAATCATACACCCATTGCCATTGCACTATACTAATCGAGCACTTTCTATTAGCTTTATTGTGTTAATAAAAAATATCTAACCTTTGATTAAAAGTTGTGTGGTCTTTTGAAGCCTAACCGATCTTGCGTACATTTGGGCTATCTTTTTTCGAACGCGCAAAAGAATTGCACGTCAATATATTAGAAGAAGAGAGCAGAGTTTGATTACACAACGCACACAGTCAAAAGGCCGTTGACAGGGGTCAAGGAAAAAAAAGAAAAAAAAACAAATATAAGGAAGATAAGCTACTAAGAAAGAAACAAAAACTCCTATCACAAGGAAGGGTGGGGTAGGGGGTCCCACTACACTCCGGCCTGCACCGGAGGCAGGGAGCTGGAGAAGAGCGAAGACAGGGCCATGGCGTGATCCGAGGGAGGGGCTGCACGCATGAGGTCGAGTCATTCGGGGCCGCAATCCTCTTGCTACGCTTCGGCACTACCCCCACGGTGGCAACAACAGGCGCCGGAGGCAGGGGTAGCGGGGCCAGACTTGGAGGCATAGACCTGGAGCATTTGGCAAGGAAGGTGCGCAACGTGGCATTCTCGACGACCGAAAACGGGAGCTGCGCCATCGGCCGACCATCATGATCTAGGGCGACCATCGGAACGTCGAACAGAACCGTATCCCCCGTGACCAAGGGAATAGTCGGTGGCAAGGGCAAGGTTGACGGTGGCCGAGAGTAGCCGACCAGTGGGACCTGGCTTGAGAGAGGAGGTGACCCCGCCACGGCCAGCGCCCCGTGGCGGCTACCCGTCTTGACGGTGCCTTCAGGCAGGGATGGGGTGGGGAGAGCCGAGCAGCCGGTGCTGTCCCTACTACTGGCACAATCAAATCGTCGGCGTCCAATGGGGAGGGTGAAACTGCGACCGCCTCCACCAACCTCGATGATGGGAGCAGGGTTTTAAATTTCAAAATCAGCAGTTCTGCCGCAGCTGAGCGATAGAACCAAAATTTCGGAAAAAATTTTGTATGATTTTTTTTGAATTTTTGACGGATTTTGAATAAATTTGAATAAAAATTGACCAAATTCACAAAAAATTGCAAAAAACCAAAATTTTCGGGCGAGATGTTAGCATTTCGGTGGGGGTGGGGGGGGCGAAATTTCCGAAGAACAGAAATTTCAAACACTGGATGGGAGAGATCGCGGCGGCATGGGCGATGACACGCATCCTGGCGAGGACAGGGCCGGCAAAGGCGAGGGCGCACAGATTGCAGCAGTCGGCGGAGACAGGGGCGCACATACCGCAGCGGCTACCACTGGCCTCGACAAGGAGAGGGCTAGTGGCATCGGCTACGGAGGAGAGCGAGGCGGCGGCGGCGGCAAGACCACGTCAAGCGCCACCACCGACCTCGGTGATGGGAGAGATCGTGGCGGCGGCGGCGACGTGCAAGGCGCACAGATAGACCAAGGCGAGGAGAGGCCCGGCCACGCCAGCGGCGGCAGCAACATGCACGGCGCATAGACCGCAGCGGCCACCACCACCGGCCTAGACGAGGCTGGAGGCGTTGGAGAGCACAACGGTAGTGGTGATGCGCGGGGTAGCACAGGAGGTGGCCCACTGCGGAGCTTGGCCGGCGGCGAAGTCTCGGGTGGCAACAAGGGGCCTAATGACGGCCGAGGTGGCAAAGACAACGGCGGTGCGCCGCTGGTGGCGTCACTATCTTGCCGGTGGAGCAGACGGCCGCGGCGATCGATAAGCTTGTCTGTGAGCCAGTAGTGGTGGCCGACGAGCCAGCGGCGGCGACGAACGAGCCGGTGGTGAAAGGGACAGTGGCGGCCAACGAGCCCACGGTGAGGGAAGGCATCGTGTCACCAACGCGGCTTGTCGGACCGGAGAGAGGAGACGACCTAGAGAGGGGGGCAGCCCATGGGAGAGAGGGGACGGCCACGGGGGAGAGGCCCTCGAACCGAAGCATCCAGAAGGAAGGGGTAGATGGGGAAAATTAATATGTGTTCGTTTGGCTGGGGCACGGGTTGGGTTCTGCACTGTGGGCTGTGTTACCTCATCAGTAACTTGATCCAGTTAAACCACACAACCAGGGGTGCTTGCACTATGGGATGGGTGTCTTTGGGCCAAGTTTTTGGACTAGGGGTACGGGCTCCATGGCTTACACTGTGAGTGCCCTCAACCGCTTCCTGCTGATCATGCACCATCTATCGCTGCGTGGCATCTATCTACCCGCACGACACGACGCATAAAAGCATAGCTCCACGTAACCATAGTAAAAAACCGGACTGAATGGGCGGTTGAACCGGAAAAAACCAGAACCGGCCACCTTGACGGTTCGGTTCAACTAAAAGACCGCCCCTGCAATCGATCCGGTAAAAAACCGGCCGGTTTTTGCTTGAACCGGTGAACCGGTGGCGGGTTTTAAGTATCGAACCCGTTTTTATTTTTCCTATTGCAGTATGACGTGATGAATATATTATGTTACCACACCATATTTATTTTTTTTATGTTGTGACCATGTAATAAAAGATATACTGGTTTATTTATGCATATTTTCACCAATTTGTGATGGTTCTATATTAAAAATAATACAAATCAAATATCTCTACTACTTAAAAAATGATGTTTCCTCCGTCCGTCAAAACAAAAAAAGTAGCGAAAAAAAGTCCGACTCCTACCGATTCCCTATTAGAAATGGAAAAAAAAGTCCGACTCTAGATCCGATTCACCCTTAAAAACGAAAAATAAAATTGATGTGCCGGATTGAAGATCTGTTTGCAAAAACGGAACCTACCGGTTGAGAGCATTCCATTTTTATATGATTTTAATTTTTGGATCTATACTTTTGCATTTGAGTCCCTGTAATTTTTATATTTACATTTAAGTCCCTATAATCTTGCAATAAGATACTTGAGGTCGTTTTTGGTTAAAAATAATAAAAGGGAAAGAACAAAGGCAGAAAGCTGCATAAAAAGAAAAAGAAAAACCGAACAAAAAAGAAAATAAAGAAAAAGAAAAAAAAACAACAACAACAAAACTCCGTTTCTCCTAAGTGGCGAAAAAACCGTAGATCTGATCCTATAAAAAACAAAAGAAAAGTGAAAAAAATGCTAGATCTGATTCATTTAGAAACAGAAAAAAGTCTAATTCCTATAAAGGCGAAAAAAATTCAAAAAAACATCTAAAAAGTTCGACCGGTTCTCTAGGAAGAAAAAAATGGTTTGCATAAAATAAAAATACGCGTGAGGAAAAAATGGAAGGGGTGAAACAACTTCCGATTTCTAACCAATATATATCTCTTCGCTATGTATAATCTAATCTAACTATTTAAAAGGATAAAATGCACGACAAAATAAAAACGGTTCAAAGAAACGTGTGAGAAAAATCAGAAAAAAGCGCAAAAAAATCACGCTAAAAAGGTTTTCCATCTTCCATAAAAAATAAAAAAACACGCGAGAAAAAATATTTCCATCATCGGTAAATTTTTTTTAGAAAAACATGTGAGGAAAAACTATCAGAAAAAACGCGTCATTTCTAAAAAATGGTTTGAAAAAATCGTGTAAAAACATCATCTATTAAAAAAAACAAATCGGTCCGAAAAAACTGTCAGAAAAAACGCTAAATTGATGGACACTTGAGCCAGATATGATCCATCGATTTTTTATCATCTACTACACGGCTTTTATTTCGTTATATATTCTCCTGTATTGGAAAAAGCAAAAAAGAACATTCGAAAAAACAAGCAAAAAACGCGCGAGAAAATAATTGTCAGAAAAAACATGCAAAAAACACACGAGAAAAGAAAAGAAAAAAAAAGAGAAAAATATGGTTTTCATCGTCAGTAAAAAAAGCAAATGAATATGCTAGGAAAAAAGTGTTAGAAAGAAATGCGCCATGTTTGAAAAATGGTTTGAGAAAATCGCGCAAGAGAAAAAAACATTGTTTATAAAAAAACATGTTGCTTATTAAAATACAAACATTGTCATTGACATGATTATGCATGTAAAACGTATATTATCATTAGAATTTTTTTCACCCGTTGCAATGCACAGACATTTTTGCTAGTAATATTAATAAATAAAAAACCGGCGGTTCGACTGGTGACCCGGCGGTCAGAGCGGGTCGACCCCGGTCCGGTTTTTTTACCATGCACGTAACACGCCACCGCACCTCCTTCATGGTCATGGGCTCCACCAACACCGGGTTGGGTTGACGACCCGGCGCCTTTGGCATGCAGCCGCCCTGGTTGGGTTGACGTACAGGAGCACGAACGAGATTTGCGTGGAGGGTGGCTTCAGGCTGCAGATTGACACGAGTGTAACCCCCGGATCGGACAGCAAAGCTTATACTACTCCCTCCGTATTTTAATGTATGAATGATGCCGTTGAGTTTTTTACCAACGTTTGACCATTCGTTTTATTTAAAATTTTTATAAAAATATGAAAATATTTATGTCATTTTTAAAGAATATTTGATGATTAATCAAGTCACAATAAAATAAAATAAATGATAATTTTATAAATTTTTTAAATAAAACAAATGATCAAGCATTGGACGAAAAGTCAACGGCGTCATACATTAAAATTGGAGCTAGTAATATACAAGTCGACCATTAGCTTCAAAAATTAAAATTAGTTGTACACAATAATTAATATTTAATCTATCTCACATAATTTATTTATCGGAGTCTAATCCAGTGCTACATCTGGCTACTAACCTGTTTTTTTTTCTCTCATCTCATTCTTCCTCTACATAAGCACAAATACGATGTGACAACTTGTATAATCCGTTCATTTCATTCTATTGCAGTCGCTCTAATACACATAGCACAGAGGATTTTTTTAGGAAAACTTAGATTATATTAATGCTAGAAATAGAGAACATATTTAATTGCACGGTTGTTGGAAGTGAAGTCACTGGAACCGAGATTTTGGGCACCACGATTTCCTTTTAATTTTTGGACTGGTATAGGGTTAGGGTATCTTGGAGCACAAATCTACTAAAGAAAAAAGAAAAGAGAGAGCACGCGCTGGGGGAGCCATTTTGTTCTGGAGCTAAAATATGCGCTATTAAATTGTTGGTGCTTTAAAACTAGTATTTAACTAGGTGAAACCCCACGCATTGCTGCAGGAATTTAGTATGATAAAAAAAGATAACGTATAATATAGCTAGATAACATCAGATTAAGTAAACTGATGTGGTTTATGATAATTTAAATTCAAATAGTATGTAGAATGATGATTCAAACGTAAAAAGTAAGCTGGTATGACTTTACAGAAGAAGAAAAGTAGGGAGATAGTTTGGACCGTAGATTAATCATCTAAAGGCTAAAAACAATTGATGTGATATGACTTAGTTAGAGGAAAAAATGAGAAAAATAATTTGAACCATAGATTAATCATTTAAGCACTAACTAAGTGAGGATGAACTATATAATAAAGATATACATTAAAACATTATGTGAATTATGTTGGATGATAATTTAACATGTTTGTATTTGAAAAGCTCTTAAATTATAATAACTATAAAGATATAGCATGTTTGCATGATGTTTAAATGTGATGATTGTTAGTGGATGATGATGTGGTATCTTGTTAATTAGTGGATTAGTGGATGATGATGTGGCATCTTGTTAGTGGATGATGATGTGGCATCTTGTTAGTGGATGATGATGTGACATCTTTGCATGTCAAGCTTAAGGAGTTAGTGGGGGATGACTTTATAGTAAGATAGGATTTGCTACCAAAATATACCAACAACACATATAAATTGTGAAAGAAATTAATTGACACTACCAAAGCTTGCTTAGGATTTTGTACTTGTCAAAATTTAGCATTGAAGAAAACCAAATATAGCCTAGCTATAGTGGCCAACTGGCCAGTGGGTGAGATTGAGGAGGTTGAAGATGGTAAACAATATCAGGGTGGTGTTTGGTGCTTTGATTAGTTGATTCACGTGCGCTAGTATATGGGGTGGCGCGTCGTCTTCGGCTAGGACACGGCGGTGTTGACTCCTCCCGGCTTAGAGGCGGCGGATCCGGCGCCGCCCCCGCCAGATCTGGCCGGAGAGCGTAGATGGAGGGGTGGCCGGCGGCTGTGGACGCTGGCGCTCGCGGAGGTGCGGCCGCGGCGGTGGAGGCCGGCTCTCGCGGAGGCGCGGCCACGGCGGTGGAGGCCGGCGCTCGCGGAGGCACGGCCGGCAGCGGGGGAGGCCGTGTTTCGCGGAGGCGCGGCTGCGGTTGTGGACGCCGGCGCTCGCGGAGGTGCCAGGGTCATCAGCTTCAAGTGATTGAGCTGATATACTGCATACTGAGATTCTGCGGACTAAAGATAGTATATTCTTTCATCATACAATTTATCGAGCTTCATTTATTTGGCTAATATTTCTTATGGAACACACGCCGCCGCATCCTCGCTGGAAATCCTCCCTGCGTGGACTGCCGCCGCCGGAGTCGCTGATTCTTCCCCGCCATCGGAGCCACCGCGGCCGGTTCCGACCTCGGCCCCATCTGCTGGCCGATTCCGACCTCGGCCCCATCCGCCGGCGCCGGCGCCGAGGTCCACCGCCGCGGCCGGAGCTGACTTTCCGCCTCTGTGACTTGCACTTTGAAAGTACATATTTCCCCCCAATTCCTAACTTTCCATCACATCACATCACATTCAAAACTTTCCTACATACATAAATTTTCAACTTTTTTTTCCAAACTATCAACTTTCCCCAAACTTCTCCCCAATTTCAGAAACTAAACACAGCCATATTCTTGTGAAGAGAACTATAAATGATTGTGCGCCACCCTCTTAGGTAGGTAAAAAGTTATTATGCAACAGACAACAGAAGTATGGTTACGCGCTTCTGATTGGGAATTTTTATTATTTTTTGAACTTTTTAAAATATTAAATTTAAAAATAAACCATCTCGATACTTATTTCTAAACCTTAACCTTCTTGTCCACTCCGCCTCGCCTCACTTGGCTATACAATAGTCACACCATACACACTTGCGCGTGGCAAAAATGGTTCATATTCGAAATTAAGTTTTGGGAAGGTTTATTTTTAAAACTAAAAATGAAAAGGTTCAAAAAATTAAAATAATATATCTCTGATTGGTCATATATTACATTTTTATCTGTTGGACCTCATATTTCTAACGAGCACAGAACCTTTCAGTATGATTAGATCAATTCCCTGTTATACTACCTTGGAGTTGTATGCTTGTGTCATGCTCAAACAGCTCGACTATTCAGCCCATCCAATTTTCAAATGATCATAACGACTTATTGTCGCAGGGTAGAGACATACAAAGAACAAAAAATAATTTTGTTTTTAAAATAGCTCAAAAGAATATTTAGTGAAATTTTATCGGGGTGAATATGTTGGGATCATGAGTTCCCAATCACAAATTCTCTGGCCGCACCAAGTGTGCCCCTTTTCGATCAATCACTGGTTCTGTGTGTTTTACGTGACATTGCAGGAAAATGCAATGATATTTTAGTACTTTTATATGTCGAAAACGTATATTACACGTGCACGATTACTAGTAGAAGAAAAAGAAAAGGAAAGGCCGGTAGCGGCCAGCTAAGACCAAGAGGAGGAGGAGTGGAGGCCGCCGAGGAAGAGGGTGGCCTCGGAGCGGACGGGCATCCGGCGGCTGCGAGCTTGCGGCCGGCATATCCAGCGAGGGAGGCGATTGCGACGAATCGGGAGGCGCCTGATATGGTGGGGCTTCCTGTTCCTTCGTCACCGCAGATGGTCGGCCGAGCTCGGGACGACTCGACCGCTATGCCGAGAGACATGGTCGACAGCCATGCATGCCGAGATATGCATGCAGCTCATGCAAGCAAGCAGATCGCTCACGCTCAGGCAGGGCCTCTTATCTCTGGCTCGGTTGAGCTGAGCAAGCGGCTACCAATTCAAACAGAAACCAAACCAAAACAATCCAAAAAGACAGGCATACAAACATGTAGTAATGATAATAGTAGTACTCCTGCAGCACAACAAGTTACTAGTACTACTAAATTAAGAGCGAATGCAGTGATGTTCATACGGTACAACAACTATGGTTGTTTTTCTTTGTATTCCAGCATGCCGCCATCCCGCCATGCTGCAACACATACAACACCGGTCCAAAGAAACAAAGAAGATACATGCCTCCATGAGGCGAGCAAGATACGACTCATTCGCAGCACCTCCAGATTGCTGCTTCCTACATATCAACATAACAATGCAATGATGGTCTGAAGAATATAATGATAAGTCAATTTTGATCAATTTGTCTTACTTACATCTATGAATCTAGTTTCCTGTCACGAAATCTCTCCAACCTAGTTTCCTGACGATTTATCTGCGTTTTTGTTCGAAAGCCTGCAAAAAAGAAATAACAATCCACTTTCTAAATTCACGTGCAAAAGAATTTGTATTTGAAATCAATTAATACATGCTAAAGACTACACGACTTACACGTCAACTAGATACTGCCGGCCTTGGGGGTTATGTTGAGCAAGGCGCGCTATCGCTTTTAATACATGGGGTAGATATTCCTCCAGGCAATTTGAAAATGCAGCCTCAACTTCATGTAACATGAACTATATAGGACAGGAAAATATTAACTTCATGTAAGATGGTTAAAATTTTGAACAGTAGAAATGGAGTAGTACTGAACTCACTCTGTTTTGTGCATGTTTCAAGAAGTTGTTTGCAAAGTGAAGGCATCCTTTTGGATCATTAGTATACAAAGGATTTAGATTATGCCACACTCCATTTACCAAATATGCTCTTCCATTGGGACCATAAATAAAAGCACGACGTAATTCTGGGACCTGACGACTTTGTCTTGCCAAGAAAATGTTCCCAGAGCAGATATATTTGTTGTAGAATGTCCAGGATGTCTAGGATAAATGTTATCAAGATGCTCTAATTGTGACATCCTCTCTAAATAAGATTGGAGACAGGGGTGATTGATAATAAATGCCACAATAGCCTCATCATTGGAATTCTCTCCATTTGGACAATTCCTCAAGTACTCAAGCAGATCATTAAAGTACAATGGAATACCATGTGGTGTAAATTTTGCAATGAATATGGAATAAAGCTTTGCAAAATCTTTTGCACATGTCACACCATTAAATTGTACTGTAAGAACACCCTGGATGGTAACAGCACCATTGTGAAATATGATGTTGTCGCTATTGAAAGCGCCATTGTAGCTCAGGTTTTCCCAGTGCATTGCAGTGATGTGGTTCAAAACCTTTTGGATGTTGTATGATGCAAAGTCCGAGAAGTATCTTACTGATAACCATGGTAGAACCGGCGGATTTGTACGAGTTTGACGTTGAAGTGCAGGTACTAAATCAACCGTGTAGAACCATGTGTTCGCATGGATATCATCAAACTTCTCATCAAATGTCATGGGCCTACAAAAAAGACACACAATGTTACAATGTTAGAGACATGTATAAATATAGGAAATTAACATCACTTAAAAACAAAAAACACTCACTGGCCGGCTCTTCCTCGAAAACGGATTTCAATCGTTGAATTCCGATATAAAGGATAGTCTGACAGTGACTTATTGACTTATTGTACTCTAAAATCTTTCCACATAATACTGCATATGTGTCCTTAACATTTACTCTCATCTTTTGACAAGCAGAGTTGATTAGATAATCAACTTTTGTGTTAGATAAATCCACTTGTACAGATATATTAACCCCACATGCCTTGACAAATAATGATTGTAACCCCTGCAAATAAGAATCAGCAAAAAGAGCATATAAACATCAACATATGACAACAAAAACAAATGCGAGATTGATTAAAACTTGTTAGTAAGATGAAGTGCAGCAATGCATTAAAAAAATGGCGCACACATTACTTAATGTATACAGATTGATCTCTAAGCTAAAAATGAGGTTATCACATTGTTGCTCTGACTTAAAATGGCATGGGTAGCGATGAGGACTTGGGGATGGTATGCACTGCGATGATGACTTGGGTGATGGCATGCACTACGATGATGACTTGGGCGATGGTACGCACTGCAATGAGGAATCAGATGCTGATACATGCAGGAACGTTGACTCCGATAATGACAACAATAGGTTTACTGACCTAGGTGGTGACAACATATTCAACATAGATTGTGATAATAATTTCAGTGATCTGGATGGTGACTATGAAGATAGCGAATGAAAATTGCTGCGAACGAAAGCTACACAAGAGCAACATTGATCAGTTCCATCGAGACCATTTGGTATGGTTGAAACTAAATAGATAGGAGCCTAACATTTTGCTTGGTGATGTGTTTGGTATTTGGGATGCAGTATGTTGTTTTATTACCTTGTGCCCATGTGGTGCTAAGGTAATGTAGCTTATAAGTGCAGACCTGTAATGGATTGATGGATGTTTTATTAATTAAATGGTTCAACTATTGAACTGTTGGATGTTTAGTAATTTTGATTGGCAGGTGGAATGGGTCATGTTCAATTTGATTAGCGGAGCTGTGAAATAGTGGTTGCAGTTAAAATTTTATTTGCTTTGTCTGGCGGTTCCAACTTATTTCCTTGACGGCTACAATAACTCAAAAATGGATAAACCTGTCAGGTTTCCACCCTCACCAAATTGCATAATAAATCTTGTGGTTTAACACCGTAATGAAAATGATTAAACCTGGGGGGGGGGGGGTGAACACCGACACGAAAATAAATTAAACTGGCGGTTTCATCCAAATCTCTAGCGGTGCACGAAATTATATATGCGACAATTAGAGGGTGTTACCGAGGAATTGGGCAAGAAAGAAGATGGTGGAGGAGCATCTTGCTTCACATGGACGACCTCCTTCACCTCGTCCAGCGTGTTGTCCTGCAGTCAAGACAACCCAAAGAAAAGATTATAAGCAAGGGCAGATAGCAAGAAAGAGATTGCTCGCATCTTGTCAAGCGCACCTGATTTTTCTTTTTCTGATTTTTCAAACCATTTTTTAGATGTGTTTTACAACAGTTGAACATGCTGCGGTGCTCAGGCTAGCTAGGAGCAGTACCTCTCATCCTTTCTCGATCGATAGTGTGGTGTATGGAGTACGTGATGCGTTTGAGGTTTAGGGTGTGATGGGGAAAGATGAAGTGAGAATGCAAGATCTAAGGGCTCACGCAGTCACGCTCACACGCACACGACAGAACGAAAAAACACCAGCGTAAAAGAAAAGTTTTATTCGGATCATCACCTTCTTCTTGCACAGCGTAGAGTCGCCGGAGAACTGTCTTTGCGCCCGTCGCCGCCGCGTCCATGCAGCCCTTGGCAGCTTGGTCCCCGTCGCCGCCGCCGCCGCGCTCGTACGGCCCTTTGCTCCCGCGGCGACGGCGACGGCGGCGGCGGCGGCCGCGGCCGCCGGAGTGAATCATGGTCTCTGTGGGAGTCACTGAGGTGGAGAAAGAACTGAGGGAGGAAGAAGAACTGAGGGGAACTGAGGGGAGCTGCTACCCGCCCGGCCCTCCGCTCTCCATGCTGCTTCTCTCTCTAAGCGAGCGAACAAGAAAGGCAGGGCAGAGAGGGAGAGATCGATAGCCTATGCCTTCCTCTGGGGCTCTGGGCGCTAACCCTAGGCGCTAGCTAGCTACCCCTAGCTTGTACAGTAGTTGCACCTCACAGGCACACATTACTGCAGGACACACACACCCAGCGAGCCACACGCAACCAGCTGTCCAGCTGCTTTTACTTTTGCTTTTGCCTGCAACAGGGAAGCAATTCAATTCAAGGATACGCGGGTGATATGGTGATTGGTGGAGATTTTTACCTGTGCGCGTTAAAAAAGATGACCCCTGCCTTCTGTCACTAAAAAGTTCAAGCCTCCCTTTATACCATCGTCGAACTTTATCGCGCCCTCCACACTATTCCATCTGTTTTTAGTCCTAACAGTGTCAAACAGCGCAGTCAAATGACTTTGTTGTCCTTAGGGTTGAGAGAGAAGAGAGAGAGAGCCGGGACGGAGGGCACCACCGACGAAGAGCACTGGACGGCGGCGGTGGCGGCCGCGGACGCCGCGGCCTCCTCGGCGGCCCCCATGGCGGCGAGGATCCAGCGCATCCCCGACGACGACCCCGCTACTCACCTGCGTCGACGGCGGCGGTGGCAAGGTCGCCGGCGTGGAGCTTGCCAGATTCCGATGGGCGTGGCGAGGGTGCGGCGTCACCTACGTCGACGGCGGCGGTGGCAGGGTCGAGCACGGCGATGCGGCGCAGGAGCGAGCCAGCGAGGAGAAGGCCGAGCGCCGCTTGGCCGCCTTGCTGCCGCGCCACCGAGCACCGCCTCGGCTGGCCACCGGCGCCGCTTGGCTGCCTTGCCACCTTGACGCCGCGGCTGTTGCGGCGGCGGCAGTTGCGATGACGACGAAGATGGGAACGGCGTTGCGACGACGACGACGGGGGCAGCGCTGCGACGACGACGACGAGGGCGGCGCTGCGACGACGACGACGGGGTGGTGCTGTGCGACGACGACAACCTATATCGCACCCCTTCCCTCCGCCATGTGACTCGATGGAGCGCGACGTCCCTCTCCCTCCGAGCCTCCCTCCCATCTCCCCGGCGTGTGGGCCTCGCCGCCGCCAGTTTGGATGGTGCTAGGAGGTGGCGCGTCGAGACGACGATGACGCGCGCGCGGGCGGCCGCGAGGGCTGGGGCTTCGGGGGAAGGGGCCGATGGTGAGGTTGAGGTTGAGGGTGCCTCCTCGGTCGCCGCCGCCATGGGTCGCCCGTCACCGGCTGCCGGCCACCGCTGCTCACGAGAGAAAGATGAAGAGGAGAAGAGGGGAAATAGAGAGGTGAGAGAATGACAGGTGGGGCCCGTAACTGAAAGGGCAATAGCGATATTTTTCTTACCCGAGCCCACATGTCAGAGCTATCAAACGGTTAGATCCTAACAGAATAGCGATGGAATGGTGTGGAGGGTGCGATAAAGTTCGACGATAGCATAGAGGGAGGCTCGAACTTGACCAAACTTTTAAAATTTTTTGAGTATCAATTTTGTATTTTAGTACGTTTGTAAATTTCGTATACGATATGAGCAGTACTTTTAAATGAAAACCTACGCATATTTTCTTTCTTATTTTAAACTAGGCATTGACTTGGTCAGATATTTGAAGCTTTAGCAATCAAATTTGATCAAATCTTGTCAAATATTTATGATCGGAGTATGCAAAGGGTGTTCTAGATCCGTACTACTAGTAGGATAGAAGGCATCATGCCTCGGGGATATTTCAGGGTGGCATCGTACTTTTTGGTAAAGTCTGAAGATCTTGCATCACAATTGGACATGTTTTCTGCTCAGTTAATTCGACGGATGTGCTTGACTTAAACACCACGCACAATAAAAAAAAGGGACAGGAGGATTTTGTTCGATCTGATTCCATTCACACCACTTTCTAATTCCGTTACCCTTTGCATTTCCTCTCTCCAACCAAACGCCTCCAATAGTCATCTCTAATAAGATCTTTTGTTATGCTTTGCAAAACATCCAAGGCATGGAGACTGTGTGGAATTACGGTGGCTTGACTGGGAAAATGACCCTGGGGATAGTGATGCAAAGATCGTGATGGTCTAGACAAAAATAAAAATCAATATGCACAAGTTACCACAGAATCTAGAACTGATCTTCAGCGTTATTGCAAGCTAGCAGTGCTGTAGCGGCAACGGCACGAACGAGAACCTGGTGTGAAATCTTGGGTGTGTTTGGTTTACGATCAAGGCTGGATGGGATATGGCGGTCCATATTTTGTTAGATATGGCGATCCAGTTTTTTGGTTGGGTGAATATGGTGATACAATTTTTTGTTTGGTTGTAGGGATAAAGGTGGATTTGGCGATTCAATTTTTTATTTGGTTGGAGGGAGTAGGGTGGATGAGCAGGTGTAGTCACCTCTCACTTTGAGAGGTGAGTATACCCCCATCAAATTCATATATACTACAAATCACAAATTCCCAAACAAATCACAAATTATATATATATATATATATATATATACTACAAATACACATATAGAGAAAAAAAAAGAAAATGAGAAAAAAGAAAAAGAAAAAAAATGCCTCGCATCCGCCGCCGTGGCTCTGCCTCTCCGACGTTGCAGACCTCGCCCCTCCTCGCCGCCGCCGCCAACCTCATCCCTCCCCCCCGCTGCCGCCGACCTCGACCCTCCCCGCCGCCGCCGCAACCTCGCCTTCCGCCGCCTCCGCCCGCATCTCACGCCGCCGCCGACCTCGCCCATCCCCGCCGCTGCAGCCGCCGCCGACCTCGACCCTCCCCACCGCCGCTGCAACCTCCCCTTCCGCCGCCTTCGCCCGCATCTCGCGCCGCCGTTGACCTCGCCCCTCCCCGCGGCAGCCGCCGCCGACCTCGCCTTCCGCCGCCGCAACCGCCGCCGACCTCGGCCCTCCCCGCCGCCGCTGCAACCTCGCCTTCCGCCGCCTCCGCCCGCATCTCGCGCCGCCGCCGACCTCGCTCATCCCCGCCTTCCGCCGCTGCAGCCGCCGCCGCCGACCTCGCCTTCCGTCGCCGCGCTCTCGCCTCTTGACCTGTGGCTGTCGCTGATGCGCGGTGAAGCGACCCGACCTCGGGCGCTCGCCCTGCTCGCCCGGCCGCTCGGGCGGTTGCATCCGGCATCTGCGAGGTATATTCCTCTTTGGGCCGCCCAATCCCACTTCCGCCCACCAACCAAACAGGCAAAAAAAAAATGGGCCGCCATCTCCCGTTCACCCAAAACCTCCCAACCAAACACACCCCTTACTACTCCCTCCGTCCAAAAAAAAATTCATTCCTAGCATCCTGAGGTGGAATTAGTAGAGAGTAAGAATGACTAAAAAAACCCTTAATTATTGAAAAAAATAGTAAGAGTGATAGATAGGTAAAGGGTATTAAAGGGATAAAACTTCTCGTTTTGCGTGTTGAGAGTAGGTAGAATGGTAGAAGTCTGTTTTCAGTTTCCACGGCATGCGGTCAGGTCCAGCGTTTCCCAAACCGCAGAGGACGGGGTTACCGCGCCCCGGCGATAAGCACGGTTACTGCGCGGTAATCGTGAAAACCGTATGAAACCGTGTAAAATTTATCAAAAATTTGAATTATTTTTTAAATTTATATGAATTTAAGGAGGTTACCGCGGTTTTTCTATTACTGTACCTCGCGGTAAGGCCGGTAACCACAGTAACCGTGCGGTTGTACCTCGCGGTAAGATCGGTAACCGCGGTAACCGTGCGGTGCGGTTATGAACGGTAAGTTGAACCCTGGTCAGGTCCCATTTATTCCTGGTCATAAAATGGTGCAGGCGTATTGATTGGTGGGGCATCGTGTGGATTGGCTGCCTGATCAGTGACTGACACTGATGGACATCACTGTACCATTTTGCCCTCCAACATTAGTAAGGCCCGTTCCCTAAAATGTTTTCCAAAAAATCAGATCAAATCGTTGGATACGTGCATGGAGCATTAAATATAGATAAAAATAAAAACTAATTGCACAGTTAGGAGGAAAATCGCGAGACGAATCTTTTGAGACTAATTAGTTCATGATTAGCCAAAAAGTGCTATAGTAACCCACATGTGTTAATGATAGATTAATTAGGCTCAAAAGATTCATCTCGCGGTTTCCTGATGAGTTATAAAATTAGTTATTTTTATTCGTGCCCGAAAACTCTTTCCGATATCCGGTTAAACGTCCGATGTGACATCCAAAAATTTTCTTTTAGCCAACTAAACAAGGCCTATTCGTTGTTAACTTGTTATTCCCTATGGGCCTCATTTACCTTCTATAAAAATGCAAGAAGAAGTGAAGAGCAGTGACCACCTATCCTACAGTTTCACCATGGCTCTCCTCATTTTCGTAGCATCGCAGCAAGTTCAAATCAGATCGAATCTTTGGATACGTTCTGCCACGACGGACACCATCTCAGCTGGCCAAACGTTGGCCAACGATGACAAGCTTGTCTCAAAAAATGCAAGGTACGCACTCGGCTTCTTCAACACAGGTACAAAAGCGTCTGGAAAAACTAACAAGTGGTACTAAAGCTGTGTTTAGTTCCAAAGTTTGGATCCAAAGTTTGGATCCAAACTTTAGTCCTTTTTCATCATATCAACCTGTCATACACACACAACTTTTCAGTCACATCATCTTCAATTTCAACCAAAATCCAAACTTCGCGCTGAACTAAACACAGCCTAAGGAATATGGTTCAATCAGGTTGCCAAAAAACTTCTGCATGGGTTGCAAATAGGGATAAGCCGATTGATGATCCCGCATCATTGGAGCTAACAATCTTCCGTAATGGAAATCTTGCCATCTTAAACCGCTCAACCAGTGCCGTCCTTTGGACTACCCAAGCTAACATCACCACAAACAACACCATTGTTATGCTCTTAAATAGTGGAAATCTCATCCTAACAAACCCCTCAAGCTCTTTAGAAGTTTTTTTGGAAGAGCTTTAACTACCCCACAGATACATTTTTCCCTGGGGCAAAGCTTGGATGGAACAAGATCACTGGCCTAAACCATCGTATTATTTTTAAGAAAAACTTAGTAGACCCAGCTATCGGTATGTATCGTGAAGAGTTAGACCCTACTAGTGTTAATCAGGCCTTGCTTGCACCGGTGAACTCCACGCCATATTGATCTAGTGGAGCATGGAATGGCGAGTATTTATCCTCAATCCCAGAGATGGCAAGCCATATTTTTTTCTAAATATGGCCATCATCCCAATAAGAGTCCAAAATTATATATCAATAGTATCAAAATAAAAATCCCATATACTTTTTAGATTAAAAAAATCTAACAATAATTGATTAAAATAGCCTTTACCTGAACATGCATTTTTAGTTAATGAGTAATAATAATAATAATAAATAAATAAATTGTTGAACTAGAGAAGAAAAATAAGGAGGAGGTCGGTTCACGCTGCACCTGGTCCACGAAGGAAGACCTTTTTGCGTGTCTTTTGTTGGGAGCAGAGGAGTAGCACATCTAACCGTCCAGCCCCAGCAACGGCGCGATCCGCGTCTCCGACTCAGTCAGATCTCCGTCCGTCCGTCTGTGTCTCTTGGCCGAGACCGAGAGAGGGTTTTCCCCGTTCTCCCACCAGTCCATTGCCGCTGGTGGCAATCTTCTTCTTGTTGGACCAAACCCTAGCTAGCAGCAGCAACCATGGCAAACCCTAGGCCTCCCTATGTGTTGCTGGAGAGAGTAGTGTTTTTCGGAGGACGCGAGTTACCCGACGGCACATGGAAAGATGCCGCAGGCATAGTCATCGGATGGAGCAGAGCGCGGCTGCTGAGTCGGCGAGAGGCGATGGAGGCGATGGAACCCCATCCCTTCCTCGCCGATCCTCCGCAAGTGAGCTCCCTGCGGATGATGTCGCCGACGCCCGCGCACGCGCAGCAGCTGGGATCCATCCGCGACGGCGACATCGCCAGCACCCACAAGGGCATCGTCGTCATCTACGCCGGCTTCTACCGACCAGGCTGCTCCGATGACCTCGGGGGATGCTACCTCCTCTACGACGCCCCCACCAACGCCCTCACCGCCATCCCCCCGCTGCCCGACTCGCCTCGCTTCCCCACCTTGCTACACCTCGGCCGCACCGCCGTCCTCGTCGACGCCTCCCGCTCTGCCGATGATTACATCCTCGCCGATATCGTCACCAACTCCGGCCTGGGCCTCCCCGAAGCCACCATCTTCGCATGGTCATCGCTGACCATGAAGAAGAGCGGCGGCGAGTGGGTCAAGTCCTCCATTCCCCGCCTCCCTCTCCCTGCACATCTATGTGGTCCAAAACACTTGTTCCAGATCGACCTCGCCTTCTCCCTGGACAGCGGCCGCATCTGCTGGGTTGATCTCCTACAGGGCATCTTGTTCTGCGACCGCATCTTGGCACCGGATGGCCCCAAGTTGGGGTTCATTCCGTTGCCCACTGGGTATTGCATCGATGTCCATCACAGGCTCCGCCATCAGATGATGCCACTAGCCCGGCGTTCCATGGCCTGCGTCTCTGGCGCCGTCAAGTTTGTCGCCTTGGTTGGCTTGGAAGATATTCATTGCCCCCCCAATGAGGTGATGCTCAAGACATGGGTTCTGTCCCCTGATTTCAAGGAGTGGAAGGAGGATAGCAGGTCCTTATCTGTGGAAGAGATGTGGGCAAGTGAGAGCTTCAAGCAAATGGGGTTGCCATGTGTTGTACCAGTTTCCCCTGTCCTCAGCCTGACCCAAGATGGGGTAATGTATACCATTCTGAATGTCATCGAGCAGGTACCTGCACAAGTTGATGAATTTGGGATCGTCGTTGTCGATGATGACCTGGTGCCCATTGCCAATTATATGATCCGCTTCGACATTCGGCGAAACAAGGTCCTGTCCTCCACAAAGATATCTCAACATGGTGAATTGCAGTGGCTTATACCCAATCTCATTGCCACTGACTTCACTGCATACCTACAGGACCACCAGGTACTTAGTTTACTTGCTACTGCATGCTACTTACCCTCAGCGCCACCCAGTGTACTTCTAGCTTCATATCCTAACTGTTTTACTGTTCTATACTTGTTTGTTTTAGACGTAAGTGATATGTGGACGCTTATATTTGTCACATCAAGTTAGTTTCACTTGCACAACTAATTAAAAAATATTGACATCTTAATTTGGCCAGCCATTTATGTTGAGGTATTGAACACAGTTTAGTGTGTCATATGTGTGCCAGCTTCCCTCTTCCGGTCTTCTCATCAGGAACCAATGAGCAGTACAAGGCTCATGTTGAACTTTGCTAGTAGTAATTTTCAAATTAAGAATCGGTATCAGCCTAAGTCTATTCAATGATTTAGTAGAGTGTGCACTATGCAGAGGCTCAAATTTAAACTGAAATTTTAAAAAAATCAGCAACTTCCGTAGCATTTTGTTGTTATGTCGACAAAAAGTACAATACCCTTATTAATTCTCACATTTGCATTTATGGCTTACTGTTTTGCCACAATACTTATTTTAATCGATTTTTTCTTACTTTATAGCCATACGCTATGATGCTTTCAATGTACTATTCCTATATGGGACAAGCTTAAGATATCCAGTTTGCGGAATGCTTGCTAAGTTTCACTTCTTCAATACAAACCTGAGTGAATTGTCTAATTAATTACTTAATTAATGATTGTAGAGGTTTTGAAATCAATTTCCGAATGATTTGTTGACACATGGTTGATGTTGTGTTCTCTTTAGTGTAGAATTTTTTCATAGTTGGTTTCACTTATCCAATACAAACTTCCTTCTCTTGTCTTAACCACTGAAAATTACCTGGCTCATGTTGAACTTTGATAGTAGTAATTTTCAAATTAAGAATTGGTATGAGCTAAGTTTATTCGAAGAGGCACAAATTTATGCAGAGCCTAAGCTTGGGTATTAGTTTGAGAGTCTTTTTCTCCAATATAAACCTGAGTGAATTATATTGCCTAATGAATGAATATAGGGAGTTCTTGAAAACAATTACCGAATACATTATTGGTACAAGCCTAAGTTGATTCTAAAAGATGCAGCATGCTGAAGTGCAACGTGAATCTTAACTGATGCTGGCAACAGTAGCAACCTTTGTACATTTACCTTTAACTACATTGATGCCATGGCCACTAACCTCATTAGCTACATGCCTTGAAGTACTGCTGAGTGCACACTTTCCCTCTTTTTAAATGTTCAAAGTTTATTGTTCAAGCTTAATTTGGGGCATATACAACAACGGGATCAGATTTAAACCATACTGTTTTGACAGTCATCTTTATTTTTGTTTTGGTAGAGAGCTGAAGAAGCAGGCAAGGTAGGAGCAAGCGCCAAGGGGAAGCGCAAGCAGATGGAGTACTACTGAATGATATGTAGTATATTTCTGCTATTTATCATGCACATAACATATCGCTTTTTTTAGCTTACATCCTGTGACTGTGAGATGTAAGGTCAAATGTGTTTAGGTTAACCATCAGAGCTTATTTTGTCACTACCAGACCTTATTTTAATGACTAAGCCTAGCAGTTAAACTGAATGGTAACCAGTATGTATGTGTAATCATCGTGGATTTATGTCATACTACTAATAGTGTTGGGCTCTTCAAATCCAACATTGTACCAACTCCTGAGTTGAAGTTTGTGCTTGATTTCATCATGCTTTCTTGGCCTTAGGTTTAGGGGCCGGTGGTGGGAACACGGCCCTGAAGACCCAGGCAGCAAGAACAGCACCAACAAAAGGGCATATCCAGTAGACGTAGAATTGCTCCCATGTGTTGTGGCGATTGTTCACATATGCCCAGCCAAACGCCTATGGAAATGTAGATAATATTTAACCAAGATTAGTTACCAGAAAACAAGGAACAGTAGCCAAAAGGGGCAAATGAGAAGAGCCGCAACTTACATCAGATCTTACTGAATGTATAAATGGAATACAGTAGCATGAATTCAAATTACAGGAACAGTTTGCGATGCATTCTAAACTCTGCAAAGATGTCGATTTCAGAGGTATACAAGGAATTTCCACTAAATTACCTAATTGAAGTGGACAGGAGTGACCAAATAGAAATTAACTGAGTTACCCTCTGCAGAATATAAGTATAACCAGGCACTGTTTTTCCATAGTTTTTCCCCATAAACAACAAGCTAGGTTTTGAAATAATGAGATCACTGGCAAGGGTTTTATGCTTATCGTGTACACTCCAACCAAAACTGTGGACGTCCAATAATAATACTGGCTCCTTCCTGATGAAGGAGATTTAAGGAAATAGTGGAACTTTATGAAAATTACACCTATTTAGTTGCTTCATTTGACCTGTTGCTTAGTACTTTGAAACAAGGGCAAAGAAAACATAAATAAAAAGAGCTTAGCCTGGCAGCATGTTTGGTAAAGCACCATAAATAGATGAACATGTAAAAGGGGATGGGTAATGCATGATCAACATTTTTATTGCTCAGGTTTTCAGCCCAAATGACTTGGGACTCCGTTTCCTACTCATCAACAAGCTACCAAACTATCGCGGGTGCTCCTGAATTAATCCTAGCTCCATGTTGTCTTGAAAAACCAATTGCATAGAACTAGTAAGCATCATGCCGAATTAATCCTAGCTCCATGTTGTCTTGAAAAACCAATTGCATAGTAGTAGCATCTTATCTTGGGCATTTAACTGTTTGCCACTGGAGTTTAATTATTTATCACTTATATCTCAATGACGCGTGGACCTTTATACGTATAAGATATGTAGATCCAAGTGACAAATAGTTAATTGCCACATGCAGGAGTGGTAAACAGCTAAATATCTTATCTTACCAAACAAAATTAAATATCTTATCCAGTGACCCAGTGATCTAAAGAAATAAACAATACAACAGAAAAAAAAAACTTTTTGAGAAATCATATTATTTTGAAACGTGAAGCCAATAATAATCCACGACAAATCATCTAGCTGGTGACTGAGATGATCTCTGCTACAAAGGCAACCTCCATGTCGGCTCCAGGAGATTCAGATGCCACGGACAAATGCATCTGCCATGCTTGGGACCGGGACTAATTCAGCCTGTCAATCAATTTGGTCCCGGAGAAGCAAATGATCAAGCTTAAGCTGGCTAAATGCTCTCAGATCAGAGCTGTATCTATGGCTATCAATGAAGCTCTTCGACTGGTCCAGCTTTTCAGAACTGTTCAGACATAACAGATTTAGCTTTCACTATTTGGATTAGATTTCATTCAGAAAGGTAGTGATTGGGTTATCTGCACTTGATCTCTGAACAATGCATAATCAGAACTGGAATCTACAGCGCGAAAAGGCCAGTAGCCTAGTGGTTACAAGAGTCTAAGTAGTATCTTAGGTCCTAAGTTCAACTCCCTATGAGAGCGAATTTTCCAGAATTTAACGGCTTTGTGCTTTCAGTGGTAGGCGATGTACCCGTCGACAGCGAGGCGCCACAAATTCGTCAATCTCCAGGATTTGCCAACCTAGTCTTCGAAGATGGGCGCCACGACTTCGTCAATCTCCAAGATTTGCCGGCCCAGTCTTCAAAGATGCGGGTTGGGTTTACGTGCGTGCATTTATAGGGGTGAGTGTGTGTGCGTTGTGAGTGTAACTCGTTTGCATCTAAATTAGCAGAAACTTTAAGCGGTGGTAAAAGGGTTGAAGAATAATTCCAGTTCAGCTGTCACATGAGTATGCTAAAAATCCTCTAAAAAAAAGAGTATGCTAAAAATGAATAGATAACTTTTATTTTTTTAAAAAAAACAAACAAACAAAGAACAGAGTACATGCAAGTGTGGTTCAGCTCATCAGTCAAAGAACTTATTTGTTATGTGTGTAGTTGTTCAGGAGATTGCTGATTCGTTCAACAAAAAAGTGCTCATCTCTGAAGACTAGATTATAACTGATCAAATCAAGTCTACATGCCGCTGCCAAATGATTGAGAATTAACGTGCAGAGAGAGGCCACTTGCCTGCTTGCCCACGAGTAAGCAAAGCCAGCAAGTTTAAGGTATCCAAAGCAGCATTAGCAGCAGCAGATGATGATGATGATGATTCAGAGATCCATTGATTACAGCCTTCTCACATGATCACATGAGAGAAGCTAGATCACAACCTGTGAGCACACACTTCCAGCAGCACGCCTTCAGAAACATTACTTAAATGCTAATCCAAATTGCATCCTCCTCGCTGGTTTGACGACACTTCGTCAGGATTAGCCGGCCAAACGCCAAGATTCTCAAACCTCCATTAAATTAGGGCCTTCATACAGAACGACCGGATTGGAGCTTTTTGGAACATAAGTTGAATATATGATATGGTATGGTATCTTTACCCAAGACAAGCTAGCATCGTGGATGAAAACATAATTTGCAGATTTTAAAAACCGCACGAATCTTTCCACTTTTTTTTTTCACGAAACTCTTACATATAACTTCCAGAAAAGAAAATGAAATTTGTTAAATATGCTTTGTATTTCAATCCGTGCCTCTACTTGCTAGATCAAGCTAGCAACTGATCATATTGGTGCATTAGTTAGTTGATGAAGAAAAAAATATACATAGAAAAAAGTAGCAGATAGTTGGAAATGACATGGATACTTGGATCCAAAGGGTATCATGGGTGGCACCACCACAACTCTGATGCAAAACAATCAAAAGTCTAATAACAGAAAGTGGCCCCCATGTGACAGCCTGACAGACCAGTGACCAGCCACTAAACTAATCATGCACATTATCCTCCTCAAAGCTCAAATCAATGCCTCCCTAGTGACAGAGATGCACTGCATTTCCTACTTGTTTCTTTCTAATCACTGGTGCCACATGCATTCCAGTCAACTGGCAGTAGTGCAGTACTAATGTACTATCATGGATCATGGCAAAGCTAGTGACATGGTGCTTCAATCTAGCTTCCCAGCAAGTATGCAAGTCTTTTGTTTAGCTTCTAATAGAAGTGGTTGTGAACATGCATCATACATGTTTATTTCAATAATGGAGTAGTACTTACATACTTACAGGCTAACATAATCAATCGATTTTTTAAAATCTCATTATGGTTATTACACTCGTAGGCTGCAGCTGGTCTGAAAATTTGAAGAGTGCACTGGCCAAGTGTCCGTCCGTGTTGAAAAGATTTACAAAATACACATATGGGCATTATGATAATCTGTAAATTACATAGACAAATTTTCTTAGCAACACATAATCATTCGCCATTCGGATTCTAGGTATTCTAGAAGACAAGCATAGCACTGACACTTGGTGTCTCTAGGTAAATATCATCAAGAATAATCTCCAGTTATTCTTCGAAAAGGAAACCAAGCTCAGTGCTAGTGAGAGAGATTGAGCAAGTACTGATACCTTGAACTGTAGAGAATACAAGAACACACAAACTAATTACTGATAAATTTATAATATCCATTCATACCATCCACCAGTTCAAGAGCAAACAAGACCAATGAATGATTGAAATTACATTCAGGTCGTCCAATCAAATTAATGTGCATGCTCTTGGGTTTGTCAGTGTTCCGAAGCTAATTACCTAAATTACTTTGAATTAAATATGGTGGAAAGGATTATTCCTTGTACCATTCTAGCTAATAAATAATGTTGGGTTCTTCAAACCCAACATCTGTACCAACTCCTGAGTTGAAGTTTGTGCTTGATTTCCTCATGCTTTCTTGGCCTTAGGTTTAGGTGCCGGTGGTGGGAACACGGCCCTGAAGACCCAGGCAGCAAGAACAGCGCCAACAAAAGGGCATATCCAGTAGACGTAGAATTGCTCCCATGTGTTGTGGCGATTGTTCACATATGCCCAGCCAAACGCCTGTGGAATTGTAGATAATATTTAACCAAGATTAGTTACCAGAAAACAAGGAACAGTAGCCAAAAAGGGCAAATGAGAAGAGCGGCAACTTAACATCAGATCCTACTGGATGTATAAATGGAATACAGTAGCATGAATTCAAATTACAGGAACAATTTGCAATGCATTCTCAACTCTGCAAAGATCTCGATTTCAGAGGTATACAAGGAATTTCCACTAAATTACCTAATTGAAGTGGACAGGAGTGACCAAATAGAAATTAACTGAGTTACCCTCTGCAGAATATAAGTATAATCAGGCACTATTTTTCCATAGTTTTTCCTCATAAACACGCAAGGTTTTTAATTAATGAGATCACTGGCAACGGTTTTATGCCTATTGTGTACACTCCAACCAAAACTGTGGACGTCCAATAATAATACTGACTCCTTCCTGATGAAGGAGATTTAAGGAAAGAGTGGAACTTTTTGAAAATTACATCTATTTAGTTGCTTCATTTGACCTGTTGCTTAGTAATTTAAAACAAGAGCAAAAAAAACATAAATAAAAAGAGCTTAGCCTGACGGCGTGTTTGATAAGCACCATAAAAGGGGATAGATAATGCACGATCAACATTTTTATCACTCAGGTTTTTGGCACAAATGACTTGGGACTCCGTTTCCTATTAATTCATCAACAAGCTACCAAACTATCGCGGGTGCTCCTGAATTAATCCTAGCTCCGTGTTGTCTTGAAAAACCAATTGCATAGTAGTAAGCATCGTGCCGAATTAATCCTTAGCTCCATGTTGTCTTGAAAAACCAATTGCATAATAGTAGCGTCGTGCAAGTGAGAGCAATTGATGTTGATATATTTTGATAATAATAATATACCAAGATCAGTAACTAGAAAAAAACCTAAAGGAAGAACCGAAATCTCACATTGGCAGGGTTCATGGATGGGCCAGTGTAGGCAGCGCCGGTGAGGACGAGGCAAACGGTGGAGATGGAGAGCATCCAGGTCTTGACGATGGGATTACGGGGCCCCTTGACGATGATCCAGAGCACGGCCAAGGTGATGACGAAGGTGAGCACCAGCTCGGCGGCGGCACCCGTGTGGAGATCCACCTTGAGCGATGGCCCCCCGAGCATGTGCTTGTACTGCTCCGGCATCAGCTCCGAGATCGCCATCGCCCCACCCACCGCACCCGCGGCCTGCCAAGCCAAACCAAATTCTCATCAGCAATCGAAGGAGAAGAAAGCGAGGGGGATTGGGAGGAGACTGAGTAGTTTATACCTGGGCGGGGAAGCGGAGGGCGAGGGGGAAGAGGGAGGAGTGGCGGGGGGAGGAGAGGCCGGCGGCGTGGAAGGCGGCGAGGGCGGTGGGGTTGAAGCTGGCGCCGCCGAGGGCGTCGCAGAGGAGGTTGAAGGCGAAGAGGAGCACGGAGAGGAGGGAGACGGTGACGAGGAGCGCGTAGTGGATCCCCTCGTGGATGCGGAGGTACGACGTCACCGCCGCCGTCGACGCCCCCAGCGTCGACACGCACAGCACCCACAGGAACGTCACCGCCGCGTCCGCCGCCGCCGCCCGCACCGCCGCCACCGCCATCGCCGCAGCCGCCGCTCGCTCTACTTCTGAATCGGATTGGATTGGATTGGAATCGGAGGAGGAGGAGGAGGAGCACGCGCGGCGCCTTTCTATCGATATAGCTACGCTCCTAACCACCTACCCCTTTTTTCAGCTAAAAAAATAAAATAAAAACTACTCGAATATTTTTGTGCTTATCATTTTATTATCGAAAACTAGGAAAAAGAAGGTGCTTGGCAACGGATTTTCTTGGAAGTAGAAGAGAAAAAATAAATTCATTCATTCAGCATATTATTATAGCATAATAAGTCAATCATCAGTTGTAAAATGTGAACTCATATACGAGGTAAAACGTTGGGTTTTTTAAAATAGTATTGACATTTCCTCGGCTCGATCGAGCCGAACAGTGTAGGCTCGAGCTCTTGTGTGCTCTCTCCGTCAAAAGAAAAACTTAATCTAAGAGGGGATTTGATCCCTTCTAGTACAATAAATCTGGACAACTCTTTGCCCAGATTCATTAACCTATGTTGAGTATTTTTTGGACGGAGTGAAAAGTGTTTATGAGAATGTGTTAGGATTGTGCTTGTGAGTTAGCGAGAGTGGGCTCAAGCCCATATCAAACATTTTCGGCTCAATGGAGATACATAGTGGGCTCAATGAATACATGGAGTAGTAGTCATTATGAAACCAAGAAAAAGCGATCTTTAGATAAGCACCGAACTACCAATTGAGGTGATGGCAGAGTTGTGGATTCATAACTTCACTCACCATGTCCAAAATCATTAGCTATTACTTCCTCCGATCAGTAATATTTGATGTTGGACAACAACCATTGATTCTAAGTGTCAAGTATTATAGACCGGAGAGCCGTCCTAGAAAAAAACAACTTCGAGCTTTTTTTTTTTCTAAGACGGATGAGGGTGTATGGTTGAGAGCTGCAATACACACCTTTTGGCTCACAATACAACAACTCCCTACCATACCAAGTTCCTAACCAAATAGTACCATAGCAAATTGTAGCACACGACTGGTCTAGTGGCCAATTGTGATAGGTTTTGGCTGAAAAATAGGCAAGTGATCGATGTGATTATTGACATCACCAAGCATGATCACAACAGTCTGAATAGGTGAATTTTTGGGGATTGTATATATGGCTATTTTCTCATCAATTATATTATGCTCAACGCATGATCGACCAACTTGCAAAGAAACAAAAACAAAATACCAATTTATAACTCTTCAAGAAGAAAAAAAAAGAAGAATTAATGGTACCAACATACCAAGATGATGAGCATACGAAAAGAACCGCAAAAGATCAGAAGGCTGAAGATTCCTTCCTTTGCCTTTTCTTTAAGATGACAGGCATTTGATTTTGGGCACACCAAGATGGCTTCCCCAAGAATATATTTTTTTGGGACCTTTCTCTTTCAAACAATCGGTTGGGCAGCAATTATAGTGTGATGCCAGCCTCATCTTTCATACGCAAGTTGATAGTATCATTTTTGTCAACGATTTCTGCGAAATTTGTTTTTATCAGATTTGTTATCTTCTTTTACTAATTTACAACCTGATTTCTGGGAAATTAAACAAGAGTTCGACCAATGAAAAGTATGTGTTTCTTTTCATGCCAAATCAATGGCTCGGATCGCTTCTACTGTCAGTATTCGATCACTGTGAAAATTATTTCAGGAAAAAATGTTAGATATATCTCACTATCAGCCTCCTTACGAAATATGGAGTATTCGATCATGTGAAAGGTTATTTCTAAAAAAAAAATTGGATACCTCACTATCAGCCTCTTGATGAAATACTAGTAGTTTATATGGTCGATTTCGCAAGCATTTTGGTACATTGAAAAATGAAAAGGGGAGTAGTCCAATCAACTTCACATGCAAGGGCACATCACCTAATCTACAAGAAACATGTTTGACCAAGCTGGGTTATTATACCTAATAACTTGCATTATTTATTGCAAATTATTATGTGCTCACTTTGAATTGGACGAGCTCGTTGAAAAAAAAAAACTAAAGAAGACGCAAAACTGATAGTAACCATCTTCTGGTAATAAATGTTAGTGCATCAAACTAATCAGATGATCTTAGCAAACTAATCCTCATGTTTATAAAAATATATTTTTGACGTTATTTAGGAAATGCTGTCTACTGCTGTCAAATAAATTTAAAGCTTGCCTCTGATCATACATATCTACACAGACGCTTTAATAGCTGGTATGTGCAAAATTTGGCAGATGTTCATAAATTTTGCTGCAATTACTGATCATGCATGGAAGAGTTTTTTTTTTTTTTTTGCGGGGAATCATGCATGGAAGAGTTGACATTTACAGATGGGGACAGATATGATTTCTCACAATTTTTGACTCCAAAATTGGGAGGAGGAGGAGGAGGAGAAGAAAAGGAGAGAAATTGAGAGAAAAAGAAAATCAAGAACGAGAAAGCCACCGGTTTTCTCTCCGACGATCGCCGCCGCCGCCGCCGCCGCCGCTGCCGTCGCCGTCGTCGTCGTCTACACGGCGACCCGCTGCAGCACCCTCGACGGGACGGCGAAGCGCGCGGAGAAGGAGCGCGAGAGGTTCTCCGGCTCCACCCACGCCGCGCCGTCGTCGAAGTTCTGCGCGTAGCTGTAGGCGTCGTAGGGCACCCTCGCCGCCGCCGCCGCCGACGACGACGCCGGAACGCAGCCGGTGGCGCAGAGCAGGATCCGCTTCTTGTTCTCCCGCAGGATCCGCCGCCACAGGCCCTTCAGCCTCGTCCCGCACCCGCGCCCCGACGACGCCGACGCCGACGCAGGAGCCCCCGCGCCGCGGGACGCCGCGCCGGGCTTCCCGTCGGCGTGGTGGACACCGTCGAACACCCCGGCGCCGAGGTAGCCGTACTCCTCCTCGTCGTCGTCGTCGTAGTCGCCCGCGAGGTCGAAGCCGCCGCGGACGTAGCGGCGGGACATGGAGATGGAGGGGGCGCAGGAGCAGGAGGCCTGGCGCTGGAAGCGCGGGCTGTAGCCGCCGCCGCCGACGGCGTCCATGGCGAGAGCGATCGGAGTGTGAGAGAATGTGAGGGAGAAGAAGAAGAAGAAGGGAGGAGTGGCGTCGCGGTCGTGTATTTGTAGGGGGGAGGGTGGTTTTTCCTTTGCTTTGTTGGGAAAAAAAACCATTTTTGTTAACCAAATCAAAGGGGATTTATTTTATCTACTAATATTTTTCCCTCCTTGTTGAGTACATAATTGGAGGGTATTTTCTCACACCAAAAGATTTTCCCTTTTAACCTTAGAAATGGTTCATATTCCCTCACAAATATTCTTCTTTTCGATTACATGGCAGACACACGTACACTATTACACATCTCAGATCACATTAAAATCTACATCTATGATTTTATCAAAATATAGTTAAAAACCCACCTATATATGCGTAGTAGGATTGAGATCCTCCGTAGTCACTGTACCGTGCCTTTGTACTGACATGTGGGCCCGGAGGCCATCGGGCCCACATTGACAGGATGGTGCAGTTGGCTGCAGAGGATCCTGATCCATGCGTAATATTCGTGAGGCATCGAGATTTGAATCGTGGTGAACAGAGTCATGCACTCATGCACCCATGGACTCCGGTGTTTATCCTGACACATAAGATTTTGTTAATATTGAATAATTACTGGATAAAAAAAGAAACGAGTGACGGGACAACCTCAGCTATTCAAAGAAAGAAGACCAGCTGAAAGGTTATAAACATATTTTTAATAAACATTAGTTTACTTTTGCTAGTCACGAAATGATACAAATTTTTTTTTTCAAAGCAAATGATATAGAGTCGAGTCCATTGAACCTGAAGCATTTCTGTACTGCTCCTGCTCTTGAAGATACTGTTGTATACTCCTAAGTTGTAACTTGTACAGAACAACCTAATCGTTGACTCTCAGTATGCCCATCAACATTTTAAATGCTCCATTGCTCAACAAGTTTTGCACTTTTTGAGACTTTAAGTCATGTTTTGCAAGGATAAATTATTGTCAAAAAAAGATTATGCTCTGCTATAAAGAAACATCATATCTTCTTTTCAGTGTTACTGGATCGAAAATTCCTTAGTGCTCCTAGAGGTAAGCGCATGAAGTAGTAGGGTAGGTGATGGGCTCATGTCGCCGTGTAAAGTGAATCACAAATTCACAAGTGGAGAGCCCAATTCTAAAGTTGCAACAAATTCACATGTGCAATTCAATCTTTCAATCTTTATAATATCTGCTTCATATACCAGATTTCCTACTCTTGGATGCTTTGTAGAAATTTCTACCCCCCAAACAAGAAAATTCCCCAGCAGAAGAATTTTAAAAAACTTTATAGAGAGACTTATCACCTATTGTTGAAGGTTTTGGAGACATTTATAATCAAACAGAATCCAAGATTAAACTATGAAGGATTTGAAGAAAAAAAAAAGGAAATACTTTTGGGTTGATTTAATTGGGACCACAGCCCATATGTTGGAAGTTGACATAATGTCGAAGACCCTACGTAGTCGATGTGGAAGTGCCACCAACTGTAGGATCAAAACCATCTAAAAAAACTGTGGGAACAAAAAAAAGCTTTTCAATTTAGTGTTAAAGGTGAAAAAAATGCATTATCGCATATTTTCACAAGAAAAATATTAGGCTTTAGTTGTATAGTGCGAATAATATCGAGCCGATGTAAATTCATATATTCATATATTCCAAAGGAGACCTCATCTCGCATTGAGTAAAGATGCCATATGCTTAAATTTGAGTGTCGAGATGGATCAATGGGTCAAATTAGTAAGCTTTGCTTGAAATAAGTTTATTAGGAGTGCTCATTCCTATCATTCCAGTATTCTTTAATCTTTTCTGTTAAACAACAAAAAGCACATTTTGGCGCATGCTTAGGCACAATTGGCGGTTTGTCTTGATGTTTATCATTGCTAATCGAGATCCATTACTCTGGAATCAAGACATTGATCATGATTGCTACTGGCTAGCACCAATCCTACCAAAAGTGCTGTTGATCATAAAACCAAAGCCTCATTCATTAATATATATGTTTGTTTATATGCGGCGGCAGTTCTTAATTCTCTGGCTAATCTTTCTCTTGCCAAATGGCATACTATAACCCCTTCGGTTAACCCTACCATTTGGCAGTTTAGCCGGAGCTATTCATGTAGCTGGAGCCATACATGTACTAATTATGCATAAAATGAACATTTTTATTATTACAGAATGTAACTTTTTTGTGAAATTATTCTGTTCAGAAACTCTGTAAATCTGTCAAGATTTGCTTACTGATTTTGTGATATTGCTTGATTTGGATCAATTCAATTCCATCATCTTCAGGGGAGTTTGATGAGATGAATCAGATTCAGGCCATGTGTGAATATGTGAAGGGCACCAGCAGGCAGCAGCTGCACAAGATAGAGTAACAGTATTAATTAGCCATAGTTGTTCAGAACACCGAATTTGACTATTGATATCAGCATGTTGCATGCAGATCTCCAGGCAAGTTGCTGCGTACATTGCATCACTCTCTTTGAAATTGATTCTGTCTCTGCATGCATATCCAATAAATGAAAGAATCAGATGGTCAAACAAAGCGAACCAGGTCCATGGATCTGCACAAAAGCCTTTCAAACTTCTTTGACCTGAAATTTCAAGAATCCTATAAACTCATGGATTCACAAGAGAAGAACCCAAAAAAAAACAAGAAGGAGAGGAAAGTTCATGGTTGTTCAGACTTCTTAGTCAGAAGAATTCCTTTTATCAAACAGGACAGGCTAAACTGCTAAACTGGTGGCACCAACCTTTCAGTGTAGTATTTTTCTGTTCAGTTCTCGTTTCTAAAAAAATTTGAAAAGAATCTGCAACTCCCAACAATATCCATTAATATCCAACCAGAAAAGCTCTGATATTGATGACATCAAGACGTTAATTTGAGATTGCGACTTTGCAGTAGTGTACAAATCAGCACGGCACACCATATCTGCTGCAAGCCAAAGAACTTCGCTGGAGGGGAGAAATTGGACAGCCAGCCTAGAAGCTAGAACAATCAAGTTTTAGTTGACAGAATGAAATGATAAATTATATTAATCCACCAATATTCACAATGCAATGTTTTTTTTAAGAAACAAAGTATAAAAGCAGGTGCTCACAGTACACGCACACTCACCTCTACAAACACGCACATGCACATTCTATCCCTTTGAACACCTCCGAAAAACTGAAGCAGCATATCTTGAGATCATGGGCATCTCGACAGGTACATCGCCTACCACTAAAAGAATAATTAGCTGTAAATGTGAGCACCTTTGTCAAGTCTACTCGTGGAGGAGTTGTGCACATCATTCAAGCTCTGAAAATTTGTATCACAACCGCCGTTGTTCTGGTCAAGAAAGTAATAACATATGTTATGTTACTGTACACTAAATTCCGTTACTGTCAATTGTCATGGGTGTCTGGAGTAGTAACAGAAATGATGCGGGATTTACATCATCCTTGAAGTATGAAGTACTCCTACGTTTTAAAAAGAAACCTCACATTCTCATCTGAGTTGGCCTTTTTGGGACAGAGGGAGTAAAGATTTGTACGTCACTGGCGAAACTAACATCAGGATGAAGCCGCAGTATCGAATCCAGCACTGAATTAGATGAGAACCCCCAACCCAAAAAAAAGGAGGAAAGGGAGAATGCAACTCTGCGCTGGTAGATTTCTCTCGCGGCGATCCCTCCCGACTCATGCCGTCGGGAAGCAGGGCAGGAGGATTTCGCTCTTCCAACGGCGGCTCGGTTGACACCCATGTATAGATCAAAATAAACCACGAAACCCATATGTTTTAATCTATAATTGAATTTATTGGTTAACCACTTACACTCTTAACCATCAGTACCTAAGTAAGGAACCCAAGTGAAACAAGTCCAGCAGATCGCTACTATTGGTGGCAACCCAATTATATTACGCGTGTTAGTTGCAATTACCAGAGGTTTACATGATTATTGTTAGTCATACGAATATGCGATACAGAAAATTGCAAACACAGTAACAATCAATATTATCATTGATTATTTTAGATGAATATGGCTATTGTTAGTAGCAATTAGCAGAGGTTTACATGACAAAGGTGGTGCTTTTCGCTAAATATTTAAGGAAAAATACTACACAAGAGGCTTCAGATCAGCAAGCCCCCTCAAAAAAAAAAAGATCTCCTAATGAACTGGGAAACACATACGACGTTTCACCCTAGTTCCTGATCTTTACAAGATGTGCAATTTCAGTTCTTCCATATAAAAGCTACGCTTCAGAAAACAGAGAATTTCTGGAATGCATCCAAGCTGTTTGCAAGTAAATCGCTCACACTTAAACTGTCGGTGCCACTCAAAAGTCTTGAACAAGATGCTCCGACTTCTGGCTCCCCAGTCGATTCAGACTGAAAACAAGATGCTCCCAGTCTTGGCTCCCCAGTAGATTCAGACTGAAACCAAGTAGATGACGATACATAAGAATCAGATCAGCTCTTTAAGAATCAAATAGAACATATCAATGTTTATTAGAGGCTCTGGTGAGTACCACTGGGATGTCTGGCTTCACATTATTGTCATCATTGGCCAAGAGTGATGCCTGAGGGTTCGGTTCCTCTCTTCTATCTTCAGTAGAACATTGCTGCAGAGACAAGCCGATAAGCAAATGCATAGTGTCCTTGGCAAGAAAAAAGGTATTAGAAGAGCAAGTGAATGGTGGCTAATAGAGGTACCTTCTCACCGTCTGTACCAGATTCCAGAATTGTGCCTAGGACAGACAAGGTACTAGCACCACAACTGCTAGGAGTTGTACCAGGTGTCCTGCGTGAAATTCGATTCTGGGAAGGAAATGCATGGCACGTTTCTTCTGCATCCCAAAGGGATGGAGTTGACACCTTCGGCTGGCTACTTGCTTGTTGCCGAGCAATCAGGGAAGCAATAGCAGCATCAAATGAATCAGCGGTAAGAGGTATCTGTTGGAGACTTGAGTTGTTTTGTGGAAGTAACTGCTTGCTGTCTTGAGAAGGCGCAGCTTCAGCTAATAGTGCTCCAAAACTTATATTAGATATGCAGTCAATCCATGAAAGTGGTGTCTCTTTGCTTTGATTATCCTGTTTCTGAAAACATGTAATCAGTGTTAGGTCAAGTCAAAATATAATTGATGATATTGAAAGAAAACTATAACGTTTGAACTTACCATAGTCTTTACTGTGTTGGCCTCAGTGGACGGTGCAGCAAAGTTACTCGGGAATTCACTCAAAGCAGTCATCTGTTTCTGTTCCCTGACAACAGGATCTAAAGGCTCGTTGTCGATTATATTGCCTGCAGAGTGCACTAATCCTAAAGATACTCCACTGTTTTGTTCCCCAAAATTGGGTGGAAACCAACCATATCTAAGAAAAAAGATGTGATATTCAGCCATAAGTTTTGTGCTCAATATATGCATGGATGCAAACAAAAGTAAAGTAAACCAGGTCTGGAGAAGAAAGCGAACCTTAAGCGAAATGTCGAAGGGCTGCCAACAGCAACATGCACATCAGCTGCTGTGCAAGAATCACTACGAGTCCATCTCTCACTGCCATTTATGTTATCAAGCCTAGTACCGTCAGGGAAGAGCATGAGTTCACCTCTTGCACACTGAGAATTGCCCCATTTTGTGTTGAGATGCTGCAGAACTGAGGATATTTTCTTTCGAGGAGCCACAGTCAATTCCAGGTAAGGATTGTGGTTTTTCTGTTAATTATACAGAGCAAGCCACACATTATGGAATCTGAACGAGGTCGTATACAATAATCACACATAGAAATCTTGCAAAAGCTGAAGTAATCACCTGCTGCAGGGACTTCTGAAACTCCTCATCTATTGGGAACAGTTGAAGTGCGATCTTTCCAGAATGGCAGGGTGGTCGAGCAGACACATTCTTAGAATCATGGAACAGTGCTTCCATAAAGCTACCATCCTTTGGTGCACTTTGTTTTTCAGTATACAATTGAGGTGATGAGGCACCAGCTCTTCTGTATTTTGTGCTAGCATTGCCTGAAAAGTAAAGCACATGTTGAGTTTGAGACCAGTTTTACTCGTAGATGTACTTTACACAATGGCATATGTACTTTACTCCATAAATAACTTTTATTTCTCTTAATGGAAAAAATGCGCTCCTTGCGTATTCCCGAAAAAAACAATGGCATATGGATGGGCACCTAACGACATCATGGAACTGTCTTGATTCAATTGTAGCAACAGACATTTATTTTCTACTTCAAATTTTAATTTTGTTTGATAAGTGCAGCAGGTACACCATACAGTAAAGGAAATTGGGAACAAGATTCCAACACATTACCTGATGATTTGTTGATATATTTTCCAGGTTTCAGGCTTTGCATCGTACTGCCACCAAGTTTTGCCGCCGTTCCTGTATCAGTTGGTTTACAGCGCTGCTGAAGAGGTTTCATGGTTTTCTGATATTCAGCAGCAAAACTATCTGGTGTGCAATTTTGTAATCCTACTCCTGCAAAATTGTAAAACCAACATTAGTTTGCCCCACACCTCCATAGTTCCATTAATTGTCTGCAAAGAGCACGGTTATAGCATCACCTCAGGAGGACAGGACCTTTTTAGCAGTCTGCCCAAAATCACAAGACAGACAACTTTTTTGGTAATGGAAGAGCTAAATCTTTTTTTTTTAACCAAGGGGAAGAGTTAACACCTAGCTGCTACGGCTCTGAGATTATTCCTTAGTTTGCAGCGATAGTGCTAATCAGACAACTAGTACATAAAAATAAAAATCAAACAACAGAAATAAATCCTTTTATCCAATTATAAAAAAGTCAGATACATATCATATCATTCAAGCATTAGTATAATGGACCAGCACCAAAGTTCCTACACACAATGGGAAAGCCCACTGATCTATCTCTTATGATGAAAACGAGCTATGGATTTTAATGAAAGAATTATATCTATGAATTCTAGCATAAATTCTAGCAAACATTAGAAAGATTAAGTTCTGAAGTTTCTAGGGCATAATTGTTCTGATCCCTAATTGTGAATTATAACTATAACAAAATCACTCTTATGCACAGGAATTCAATGGGATGCACCGAATGTGCTAAAGGCAGACTTCCAGCGGAAGCATTCATTCGTTCACGTTCCTTTCAGAAACTGGCATTCGAGTTTTGAGTTTCTCGAGTCGCTCCCCTAAACCTAATCCCCGAATTCTCCCGCAGCCCAACATTTCATTCAACCACGAAATCACGCCGCGCGTACCCACCAGTCACCTCGCTGTAGCAAGAATTCATCCATAAGAGGCGTACCTGATCTCACAACCCTAGATCTCCTGGACCCCGGAGAACCCGAGGCGGCGAAACCCTAGCCCACCCACCGCCGGCAAGACCCCCGACCTCCGCAACCGCGGAGAGAGAGAGAGAGCGAGCGAGGAGTCGGAGGCGAGCACGAACCCTCAAGGCCGCGAATCCCCACACCCGCCCGTCGCCGGAGTTCACCGGAAGGCTTCGCGGCGCCCGCGGCGGAGGCCGGCGAGCAGCGAATCGTCGGAGGCGGAAGAGACGGATTTTTATTTTTTATTTTTTTTTGGGAAATTTTTGAACTCTGGTTTGTTCACTTGCCGCCTCCCCTCCGAAATGGTACGCCCGTATTTATACCCGTACAGTATGACAGACGTGTTGGGCTACGACTCTAAATGGGCCACCATTTGGTGGCCCATGTAGTTTGGGCCTCCATTCCTAGGCCCAAACAGTTTGGGCCGGCCCACCTGCACCCGGTCCACGGGGGCCTCGTGCGCCGCTGCCACTGCCACCACCATAAGACGACGCCGCCATCGCCGCGTCACGCCACGCCACGCCACGCGCACGCCGCGGCAGCGCCAGCGCACGGCTCGTCCTCGTCTCCGTGCGTCGCCGACGTGGGGGGTAACGGGGGTTTGGAAGCTTCCTCGCTAGGGCGGGATGGCGGCGGCGGCGAAGAAGCGGAGGCCGGAGGAGGAGGAGGCGGCGGGGGCGGAGGAGGAGATGCACCTGGCGTTCAGGGGCGCCGCCAACGCGCTGTCGCAGGTGTACGGGCAGGCCGTGGCCGCGCAGGAGAAGTCGTTCCGCGCCGGCGAGCGCCGCGCCATGGTACGTCCTTGGCCTCCGCCTGCCCGTTCCCCTCCCCACCGATCGGTGGCCGAGTCGCCTGAAGAACTGCGTTCTTGGGGCCTTGAGTCTTGGGGTCCGGTTTAGTTTTGGGATTTTACGCGGAGATGCGAAGGGGGATGGGATCCTGCTTCGAGTTCTTTCGAGTTGCTGGTGCGTTGGGGATAGGGGAATTTATGTTCTGGACGAATTTTTAGCTGAGAATTATGGGTGTGGTTTGGTATGGTGGGATTGGAGAGTTTCTCGGTGAAATGCTGCGGCTGATCTTGAAATTAGCTTCTGCAGTTGTAAATTGTTGGAAATCCATCAGTCTGAGTTCTTGGATGTGCTTCCATATTGTGAACTTATGATTTTATTATCAAATTGATTCAATCCTGTTTCTGAATTTTGGCAGGAGAATGTCTATCGATGGATTTGCAGCAAGCATCAAGAAGGTTTGGAGGTGTCTGTTGCCGATCTAGTTGCTTTCCTGCAGGTCAGTTTGTCTTTATCTTTTTCTTTAGTTTAATCCCTGTTTGACATTTATGCTAGCCAATGCCTTGTGTCATATGCAAAGATTGAGAGTCAGGGTGACTTACTAGTGTTCAATTTATAGAATGATTTTTGCATGTGGATCATGTCACACATTGCTGGCTAACCAATAGGATCAAATGTGACTCTACTACAACTGTGAATTGTCTGATGAGTATAATCTTTATGAATGTGTAATAATGATTCAGTTTCGAGCACATCTACAATTTGTATAGCCAGGGTCTGGAGATTATACTATGAAACAATTGTACTAGTTAAGTATTACGTCAGATGTATGTACATAAGAGCCATGAAAATGTTTAGTGAAGCACTGAAGGTGCTGAAATCAAAACCACATTGCCTTTTGAGAATTCATTCAGTACAATAGGCAGGCCATAGCGTTCCCTTTTCTTTCCTTTTTCCTTTTTTTCCCCTAGCTCTGTTGTTATTCCAGTATGTGTATGCGGCTCAAATCCTTGCCTGATGCTTCTCTTCTACGCACAGACTGAGATTGAGCACAGAGCAGGGGAGGTGCCGGGGTCATTGCAGCATACAAGTGCACAGCCAGCATGTCAATTTCCTTCTGCAAATATTCAAAGCAATTCGTTCTCTTTTGGGAATGTAACGGATGCACTTAACTCCCATACAGCGCAAACTGGCCAAACACAAACTGCCGGCGTGTTAAATGCTCCGCCCAACCCATTGCGGCAAAATTTACACTCAAATCATCATCCGATTCATTGTTCAGCGTATGGCACTATCAACTCCCTACCAGATGGAATTGGAGCTCAAAGCAACCATCCTCCCCAACATCAGAATTTCATGCACTGCAACTCGTATGAACCCTCCATGGATGAGTCATGATGCTTGTTGAGGATGTGAGCCATATGAAAACCCGCAGCTTGTTTGCTTAGTTCCCCCGGAGCCTTCAAGATCTGATATCACCTTAATTGCTGGAGAAGTCCCATCGATTGCCGATAGATATGCTCCTCTCCATCTGGGTATCGCAATGCAAAGCTTGTAAGATGTCGATATCATCTTCACTTTTTTCTGACATCTTGTACATTACAACCAAGAAAGTCCCCTTCAGGTCCCGCGTGTTGATTGAAAGATTGAAGCTGCAACCTTTGCTTCAGCGTAATTGTGCTTGCAATATTAGTTCTTTTCTGTTGCTTGCAAAAACCATGCTCTGGTTAACAAGGATCAGGAGGACGAGGATGGTGCATTAGTTGTTGATGAATTTACTGCTGTGTTCCATGTATATCTGTTAAAGCTGTATTGGTTCAGAGAGCCTGAGAGCATTGTTTCACCCTTTTTTTTTTTTGCACTCTCTTTTGGTGTGTGAATGATTTCTAGTTAAAAGGTGTTGTAACCTTACAGATATTCAGACCATACATTGGTTAGAAGAAAGTCTTGTATAATAGATAATGTAAACAGAGAAGTCTGTGTCCTTTGATAATTGATACTTTTCTGCTAGAGTAAGTTTTCCATCAAATCAAATTCTCAAAAAACCGAGCGCTTGGTGGAAATGGAACACGTATGATCTCACGCTTGTCAATTATTACTCGGGTCTGTCTGCTGTGTTATTGCATAATTTAACGAATTTACCGAATCAAATGCATCGTTTATATTCATTGTTTCTAATTTGCAGCGCTACCCTATAAGCGGAATTTTCTCTTCTTCACATTGTATTTTTTTGAGGACGAGGGGTTATACGTAAGAAACATAACACCCTATAAGTGGAATTTTCTCTTCTTCGCATTGTATTTTTTTGAGGACGAGGGGTTATACGTAAAAAACATAACAGGGTGTCAGACGGTCCGAGGACCTATGCGATATTCCGTCGAAACGCGTGGAGCTTTTTGCAAAAGTGCAAAACACTCGTAATCAAAAAAAAAAAAAAAAGGAGAAAGTCGGAACCATATTTTCGTGACGAACTATAAACAAATGAGAGTTACAGATGATCCACCGCTGAACGTTCACGAACTACGAGCAAAACGGAAATTGCTGAATATTCATTTGCAAGTTCAGCAGGAAACTGGAAATAGATACAACAGCAGAAAAGGATATACCTCTGCTTCCCCGGTTACCATATGGAAAGATTTTTACGTTACAGACATACAAGTTACAGCACAAGCAGTTTTCATATGCTTGAACATCTAATGTCAGCGGTAGCACATTAACCAAAAGTAAAGTAAAAATCACATCTTGGGAGCAAGCCCCGTATCATGCTTGGGAACATCAGCTAATATCAGTCTTAAATCACATCTCAGGAAACTGGCCGGCAAGTCATCCTTTCCTACTCGCTGATCCTACAGCAGCTGCTTGCAGTGACAGTCATGGTGTGGCCTTGTCAGCAAGTGAGTGGGCAGCCGAGCTCCTTCGCCGCCGCGGTGAGGAAGGCGAGCGTCAGCCCGGTGGCGCGGCGGCTGTGGGCTTCCCACTCTATGCATCTCTCCACATCGGCTTGCCAGTTGATGATGCTTGCTGCCAAGCACTGGTAGGTTGGGCTCTGGATGCCATTCCGGTGTTCCCCTTGGATGAGCTTACTGGAGTTTATTTGTCCGCTGTTCAAGATGTCGCGAAGGACGGACATGCTGAGTGCACGGACATGCGCGCTGGGGTGCGAAAGACAGCGGATGGTGGTTGATAGACGGCACTGCATATCAAGATTCAGTCAGGATGATGGATCATGGATGATGATGAGTAAGTTTGGCATGAACGTGAGTGAGATCAGAGAAGAGGACATGCCTTCAGCAGATTGGAGAGGCCATCAGCGACGGATACACCTGAATCTCCCCATTCGACGATGAGATGGACTGCTCTGGCGGTTACTTCCAATAGCTGCTCGTAATTGATCCCGAGATGAACCGGTCAGTAAGCGAGATGAACCATACAAAGTAGAACTGATTATTCTTCACTGGGATTTGCACCTAAGGACCTCATGAATGAAGGTGTTACCTCTAATTGTGGTAAAGTACAAGCTTCACCATCAACAAGCATTCCATCAGTTGCTCGAAGAAGAAGATCTGAAGCACTAGCAAGGATCACCAATGCTTCTGGGCTATCGTGGTTCCTCATAAGCTCTGCTATCAGCTTAACTATTCGCTGGTTGACTCTCCACATCTTCTGACCTTGCTCATCATCTCGAGCAATCCAGGGCTGCAAGTCCTTCTCGGCCTGTGAAAGATACAAGAGTCGGGGAAGATGACTGAGGAAATGGGTATATTTTATATCGGTAATGATGCTGATGCTTTGAAACCAAGAAATGAGAACAAAAGAAGCTACAGTATGGAACTTTTTTTTTCAAAGGTACATACAATATGAAGCTTTTAAATATGATAACAAGTATGTAAATATAACAATAACAATATCTTGACCTGCAGAACGATAGCAGCTGAAGCCTTGGTCGGTGAGGCTGAAACAATGTCACAAAGCGCATCCACAACCTACCCATGAAAAACAAAGATTATCATTGTGTATAAGAATGCTGACAACCAAGGACGGTCTTCATAGCATTATTCTGGTATCTTATAAGCAGGAATGACCATACCTTTCTCCAACCCTGATGAGCTGATGTACTTTCTGCAGACATCTGCATTTCGGGAGATGCAATGAGCTTCTGCCAGAGCAATGAGACAACAGAGAAGCATAGCTCCTGCTTCTCTGACAGTACAGATCTTAGGAGAGTTTGAGAACCTCTGTAACCCCCATTTCGGTCCATGGTGAGGAAGTTTGCCAAATCAGAAGCTTCCACCTGTAAACTTGCAATGGCTTTCCCAGAAGTACTTGCGACATCACCATTTAGTATAACATCTTCTGCACATTTCAAGAGTGGTCTTGCAAAACCATTTTTCCTGTGTGATCTTGAAGCATCCTTTTTTTCCAATGCACCACCATCTGATGAGTTAATGTTCTTTTCCTCAATGGGAGGTTCATCCTTTTTTACTGGTGTAAGGGTCAGGTGAGCTTCTAGAGGCTCAGCTTTGTTCACAATGGAGGTCACTGTTTTACCATGCAAGTCAATCAAATGGTAAAGGGATGATGCCCTGGTAGAAATCTCAGCATCCCACTTGCATTGCTTCAGCGCAGACAGTGCATTTAAGCATGGCCTGGATCGACGAAATAACTCAGAAACATGAGCAGCAACCATAGCTGCTGCAACAATCTCATTTGAACTATAACTCCATGAAGTACCAACAGATGATGGCTTCAAGGAGAACAGAGCTTCCAAGATGCCAAGTATTCTACGAGTATGAAGAATCGCTGAGCTAATGCTATTGTGTAGCTCGTTACTGATACCAGTGGTTTTTCCAGGTATGACTATCTTTATGGAGTCCTTCAGATTTGAATGGTTCCCATTCTTGGAAATAAAAGGGAACAGCTGGAGCTCACAAGATAAGGCACAAACGGCTGCTAGAACGTATGAGTCGAATGTAGCAACTGGTCCTTGTCTCTTCTTACATCTGTTTCTTCCATTGGTTAATCTCGAATCATTTGTGACCTCCTCAGAGGAATGATTATCACTACCAGTTGGCCTTTTACTTCCCCCAGGCAAAGCTTGATGACTGACGCAAACAGTTAATACTACAAATAGTAATCTGGACGCAAGGTCCATTGAAGCACAGGACTCCACAAAGAGTGAATGTATCATTGTTCGGAGTTCAGCAACAGCAAGGTTCTTAGATTGACTTCTTGGTTTCCTGGATTGTTCAGAGGTTTCTGATGGAAAAGTTCTTCTCAGTATAGCTTCAACTGTTGCCACAAAAATTCTCATAAGGCATGCTTCAGATGGACTCCCACGAGGTAAATACTCAAATACTTTCAACAATGGCAAGTATAGGCTCCATGACAAAGTAGGTGGCTGAAGTGGAGCAGCTACAACAATTTCAGGCAAATCAACTGCTGATGAACTCAGAGGTAGCAAACCATACGCAGCCTCCCAGATGGTACATATTCTCCACTCAACATCGGGACCATGAGCACATAGCATGGAAGCAATGCCTTGCGCAGTGGCATCAATAGTGGCTTCAGATGCAGGAACTTCCAGCTTTGTGCAGTTGAAGGAGCACATATGAAAATATAAGTCAATATGAAGCTAAAACATGTAGGGTGCATATATTTTACGACATAATCAAATTCCAACTTTGGTAGGTAGCAATATCTATATTAACTTGTTTGATGATACCTTTAAAACAGTTTTAACATAATATCCTAGCAGTCATAAAATATACAAGAATACATCATAGCTCCAAAAGAACTGATATAAACTTATCATAGCATGTTGACGACAAGCATACAGAGACTCCTAAAAGGTTACAAAAAAATGACCAAAAGATTTAATTTTCTATTCAAAACAATAGAGGCTAGACAAATCTAGCTTTGCAATATTGTAGCTAAACTACTTTAGTCATGATGATGTAATCTGGCAGCTAACAGTACTTAATGAAAAAAAAATTCAGAACAGAGTCTGGATAATGTAGCCGTTTAGTGACAAGCCTATTAGCATATATTTCGAGAAAACTGATAAAAAGGAAATTGAATACATCAAATACAGAATAGGTAGCAAGTAGGTGCAGGAAACACTGCATACCTGCCTTTTCTATTCAAAACAATAGAGGCTAGACAAATCTAGCTTTGCAATATTGTAGCTAAACTACTTTAGTCATGATGATGTAATCTGGCAGCTAACAGTACTTAATGAAAAAAAAATTCAGAACAGAGTCTGGATAATGTAGCCGTTTAGTGACAAGCCTATTAGCATATATTTCGAGAAAACTGATAAAAAGGAAATTGAATACATCAAATACAGAATAGGTAGCAAGTAGGTGCAGGAAACACTGCATACCTGCCTTTTGTACGATGATACATAGCCACCTAGTGGCTCATGATGGAGTTCAACTCCTTCGGCATGTCTCAGTGGAGGAAAAAGTAATGTCGGTTGGGAGAGTATTCGGAAAAGTAAAGCAGCAGACGTATCAGCAGCGATACCAGCTCTCATTGACATTGCAGTTCCAATAGCACGCAGGAAATGAAGATGCATCCAGTTCTTTGGAAGCTAAAACATAAAACAAAGCTATGACAATCAATAAAATATTCAAAACACATAATGTGCTGTTATGATAATATTGCATGATGTGTCATCTTGATTGATAGCACTGAAACAACAGCCAGAGAGATGTATGATATACCCGCATGCCAGAATCGTAATCTTCCGCTGCTCTAAGGAGTTCAACAAGCTGTACTGCTGCATCAAGTGCATCTGGGGCCCATGATGGTGGTGCCTCGAGAAGACCAAAAAGCAACCTTTGGGTAGCACTTGGAGTAGCAATTGCATAGTATCTGACGAAAAATAGCATGTTAGCAATCATTTGGAAAGTACACATGGTACAACAGTGGACAGGATCATAAGAGCTTACCTATGAAACAAGCGAGCATATGGTTCAAGAGGAGGGAGCCCCGCAACCAAATGTTCGTCCAATGGTGTGGTCGGTG